CAAACTTAAATCCTGTGTATTGAAATTTGAAAACATTCTATTGTCATTATAAATTATTACTTTTATAGCTATTTAAAGCTGAAAAATTGATTATTTAATGAATACAATATTCTAAATGTTGTATGAAATAGCAGTATTGATGTTATAAAGGTAAATTGAGATGTTCCTATTCCCCCACGATTCCCAATAATTAGTAATATAAGAGGAAACAGACGCATAGTCTTGCAGAGTCTTAGCTTCCGGTTACAGCAGAGGAGATATGTATTATTATAATAACAGAATCTGGAACTCTTCCAATCTATCTCATGTACGTGTTTGGATAGGGTTGTTGTGATATGTGATGCATGAAAAAAAAGCTTAGAACATGAAAGTGACATAAAGTGGTAATATGTATTGTTGTGTAAAGCGTTAAATCATAATGTTATTGATCTTTAGATAAGTCTTATTATGATTACGTAAGCATTGATTAATCATTCCTAAGCAAAAAATCACTTTCAGTTGGAATATTTGTGATTTAATGTTTTATATATTTTGGATTTAATAGCATTTTATTTAAAATGTGGCTCTTTGATTAACATAATCACTTAGAACTCTAAAATTCAAATAAGGAAAGTGAAAAGATGTATTATTCTGATTGGTAAGTTTTGAAACAGGTTAATTTTATAAGGCTTGCAAACTAGTTCTTCAAATATTCATTTTTACAAAACAATATTTCTTAAACTTATTTTAATGAATGTTTTAATATTTCCCCCCATACTGAGGTTTAAGAATAAGAATAAGAATATTTATTGAATCCAATTAAAGGGCCCGTTTCCGAGTATATACATATATATATATAGTATTAATTATACAGTAATTTTTATACGCCCGTTTACGGGACGTATTATGGTATACCTCTGTCCGTCTGTCTGTCCGTCCGTCTGTCCGTCCGTCGTCAACATGTCAGACATTAACTCAAAAATGCTTTAACAAATTTGCATAAAACTTTGGTGAATTGTTTATATCTATTGACGTGAGCTCCCTTTCGTTTTTTATAAAATTTAGATTTTACGTTTCCGAGTTATGGGGTTTTATTCATTAAAAAAAGGGGGATTTTCCAGTTTTCGGACAATAAGTCAAGAATTCTTTCACCAACTTGCAAGAAATTGTGGTGAATTGTTTATATCTATTGACATGAGCTCCCTTTCGATTTTTATAAATTTTAGATTTTATGTTTCCGAGTTACAGGGTTTTATTCATAAAAAAAGGGGATTTTCCAGTTTTCAGACAAAAACTCGAAAAATGCTTTCAGCAATTCTTATGAAACTTTGGTGAATTGTTTGTATGTATTGATGTAAGCTCCCTTTAGAATTTTATAAATTTTACATTTTACATTTCTGAGTTATGGGGTTTTATTCATTAAAAAAAGGGGGGATTTTCCAGTTTTCGGACAATAACTCAAAAATGCTGTCACCAATTCTCATGAAACTTTAGTGAATTGTTTATATCTATTGATGTAAGCTCCCTTTTTATTTTCATAAATTTCTAATATGAGATTGAGAATTAATTGAACTTTATTTTTTTATAGTTTGACAACAGATTTACTAAGTATTGCACAACAGCAAGAAATCTTTAATTGAACATAAATTCAATTCATATAACCAATTTCAAGTTCTTTGAATACATTTATTCAGAAACCTATAATATGTCAAATATTTAATTACAATCCAAATTCAGACCTGAATCAAGCTTGAATATTGTGTCCATTTTTGCCCCAACTGTTCAGGGTTGGACTTCTGCGGGCGTATCTAGCTGCGCTCAGCAAAGCAGTTTATTAAGATATATTACATTAAAAATAAATGATTAAATAACTATACTCCATACCAGATGGTGTTTGAAAATAAATAAAATAGAATATTAACCCTCTCTAATACATAAAAATAAATAAACTACATCACTACTACATGTATATTTAGATAGTTACTGGAATGCAATTTTCTCTTATTTCAAAATAAGTACTTATAAATCTTGACACTGACATATTAACATTTTCAGACTCACATGACATTAACCAAGTAAATTGTTCATACTTTGAAATATAAGGGAAGTTTTTACATTGAATGCATGCTTCATTAAGAATAAAATTCTGTTCCTTTTCATATGCAGTGCATTCCATTAAAAATGAAACTCGTCTTCAACCTGCATATTTTTACACTGCCCACAAAATCTTTTATCTTTGTCGATTTTTTTATATCTACCTTTCTTAAAAGCTAACTGATGAGCACTGATTCTAAATTGAGTTAAGCTTTTTCGATACTGAAATTTATTAGCTTGACATAAAAATGCTTCCCTTTTGAAGATGTTTTTAAATTTAAAATAAGTACGCAATTTAAATTTTAAACATTAAATTAAGTATACATCGAGTGAACCGACACCTAATGGTAAAGCTGGTAGAATAATCAGGATGGATACCGAAGTATGCTGCGGTTGTCTTAAAACCATGGGAAAGTAAATTAAGTTTAATTAGGAAATTGAAAATGTATACAAAATGTACTGGTTTGGTCTTTTAAAAGGTATTGCATCATTGCTTTTATATTTGTTATATGAGTTTCATTATTTTTTTGTACCGGAAAAAGGTGATGAAGGGTGTCTATAAGACATCTACTGAACAACAAATTGAAACCAAAGCTACATCTCATATTTAAAAGATCTTTAATATTCTAATAAATGCAATGTTGAGGACCATTTGATTTATTTAGGACTCCTTAAGGAAGATTTTTTTTAAACAAAATATTTGATACTTTACTGCAAAAAAAAAAAATTTTACCATGTTTGAACTTGAATGGAATCAAATAGCTTTGTATTTGAAAATTAGTCATTTGTTTCCCCTCTAAAGAAATTAAGAAAAAAATAAGGCAAAAAATATCACAATTGGCATATTTTTGCCTAGTGAGCAATTCAGTTGCCTTGGTGGCCAAGCAGTCTAAGAAGTTTATGTACTGTATCACTAGCCTGTCAACAAAGAGGTGAGGTCAAACCCGGGACGTGGCAGGTGAATTTCAACTCTAATCTTTTTTGACAAGGCTTTCTCCACCAATAAAAACTTATCATGAAATAGGCAATAGTGCTGAAAGTAGTGTTTAACACTTAAATTCAATCAACCAGTGATTTTATGCCACTGTGATAAAACGTTGGGGAGGGGCATCCACATATAGTATAACTAAAGTGACTTAACTCCACTTGGTGTTTTCAAATTAAAATGCAATCTGCACCCTGGACACAACCTGCAATTTTTGTAGTTGCATTTTAATTACCAATATGTTATGGGGAGCATGGATACTAAAAACTCATCAAGGACACCATGCTTATAAATTTGTAAACCAGACACTTATTTTGTCTTAAGACTCAAGACTTGTCAATGATGTTTGAACTTCTAAAGGACTTTGCTTTTGTTCAATATCACAAAATCAAGAAATTTCACAAATGTCTGATTTGTGATTTCTGCATCACATATGTTTATATATAACCAGCACAGCTGCTGTACAAGTACAAGTAGCTATTCATATTTCCAAGTGGTATGCACTTGGCCAATAGTACAATTCCTCAATCTAGAGTAAATATAAATATTATAGTAATTACTAAAAAAAGTCAGAAACATTACAGAATTCTTCATGTGAAAAGTTATGAAATTTATGAATTTAAAGATAAGATGTTAAGATTGACAGCACACTTATTATATTTAGTTGGTGAAATCAAATTGACCCACTTTGTGCTAATATATCATCCAAAGTAAATATACCTGCTTTCTAGAATAAATTTTCACATAGGAAACCATATTACAATGGATTTATTCTTCCCCTAATACACTACTGCTGTATTGTTTGAGAAGAAAGTACTGTAAAAATGAAAGGATAACAAGAATATAAACATATATGAAATTGCATGCAATCTTTGGATTGCTAGTTTCCTTGTATCACATACTATTTCATACCTATATCATTTCAGTGGGCACATGCAATTAGACCTAAACTACTTTGCTGCTTTGAGCTTTTAATTTTATTTTAAGTGTACTAACTAGACTTTCAAACCTGAATTTAGCTTGTCTTGACCAATTTTAATAGGTCCATAAAACCAAACTGTTTTAAGCTTTAATGTCTTACTTTATTGTACTTCTAATAGATAAAAGTCACCTCTTACGATTTTAGCTTAAAAATTTATATTTTTTTACCTTTTTTTTTTGTACTATTAAAGGACCCTACTGAGATTTACTGCATTAAGGTTTGGAATAAATTTTACAGGTTTCAAAAACTATGTCATTACATCCCAACATACTCCTACATAATTTTTTTCTTTAATTACTAGACCATAGAATCGTGTTATAAAAGTATAATCCATCCAAAATATTATATGATAGTCCTTGTTTTATGATCAAACTGGAATTGTATCCATGATAAACAGGTAGGTTCATACTGCAAATTCAGAAATTATTGCATGCATTTATTATTGCGATTTTTTAAAGACTGAACAAAAAAATGCTAGATTAATTATTGCGATTTCAGAAAAGCTTCATGCAGATATATGTATCAGATTATGAGTAATTATTATTGCGATAATCACCTAGTCTTATCTACTGGTAGTCCCATTATTGGCATTTATTAAAAACCTGGCAATAATTTCTGAATTTACAAAAATAGCAGTCTTTATAGAAATTGAGCACTGTTTATTGATATTTCCTTGAAGCCAATAGTTTCGATGATTACACTGGCTGATATTTTCGTCTTACAGAGATTGATTTGTTGTAAGAATTCTGTTTGTTATTATGTTGATTTGGTATAAGAGATTTCACAGGAATGTCTTAATGGCACTTTTAGATTGGAATATTGTCTTTTATTGCATAGATTTGTTCAGTTATGTTTTTGAAGGCATGTGGAGACAAATGCTTTCTTATATTTCTTTTAGAACTGTCTGAATTGACATCTTACATTCTACCATTGATATTTTATTTTCATGACATCTTGAGATAATACATTGTTATTGGTATGCTCATTTTGAATACATTTTGGGAAAATGGTGCTACCATCAATAGCCATCAAAGTCAGGAACCTCAGTAAGTTACTGCAGTAGTTTTATTTTAATATTTTTTGTCATCGTGAGAATTTGATATTACAGGTAGATCTTGGGAAGTCTCTGTTATATTTATTCACCACCATTTTAGAATGGAGGTTATTAAGAGACATATATTATAGACCATTTGTCTTTTGTTGAAGGAGGAATATTGACCTCTAGTTTTCTTTTTTTTTTTTTTTTTTTTTTGCTGTCTTATTGATGTACATGTACAATCAGAGATCAAAAGTGTTTCACCACTCGATAAATAATTCTGCTATACATACAGAAGGACTAGTGTAATATTCACACAAAAGCACAATGATTTATTTAAACATTATTTCTATAGTTTACATATGACTGATGTAGATATTTTTCCAATGCAATGAGGGGGGGGGGGGGGGGGTGTACCTGGGGTTATACTCATTTACATCTAGATCTCGGATCTCTGCTTTGCGTTAGATGTCAATTTTTACATTGAGGTCCTTCTTTTAATGTCTTGAACATCATATTTGAGAGATTAAATAAAACATGTACAGCGTTATTCAGTATTATCAATTAAGGCCAGCTAGTACCAGTTGTTCTGACATACTCTATTCTACAAATTAAATTCTGTTCAACACAAAGTCAGTAACAATTTGTCATTTCTAAACCGAATAGACTTCTTTGTTTGTACACCAGAATATAAACAACAGTACATCTGTATACCAGAATAGAAATAATAGTACAACTGTACACCAGAATAAAAATAACAGTACATCTGTACACTAGAGTAAAAATATCAGTAAATCTGTACACCAGAATAAAAATAACAGTACAATTGTACATCAGAATAAAAATAGTTAACATAGTTGACCAATCATGCTTAGGCTAAAGCTTTTGAAAATGTTTCCCAGAATGCTTTAGTTTTTGAAACTGGAAGCTTTGAAAATGCAAACAGGGGTCAAATTGGTTTTAAGAAGTAAACATATAAATTGATACTTATCTTGTGGAAATGAGCATAATTTACTGAAAAAATCAATACATATTTCGCATGAAAATGTTAAAAATGAAACTTGTTACAATGGTATTAGTTTTACAGCTGTTACGAAATATAATTGCATCAAAGGTTTTATATTACCAGTTATTTCTTTGGAGAAGTGAGTGTTAGGAGCTTTTATCTGTGACAAGTTTATTTATTTTTCAGCGAATAATCAAGACATGGCAGATTTTAGCAAAGATGATACCAAAAAGTTATTTGAAAGTTTTGCAGGATTAAATGGGCTATCAAATGGTGTTATAGGGGATGTGAAAGATGCAGTAAATAATAACAGTGTTTTAATTGACCAAGAAAAAGACAAATGCGTGGCACTGAAGAAAAGAATGGGACTCATGTCTGGAGTAGCATTAATCGTAGGAACAATGATAGGTAACATATTGTAAACCATAATAACACTGAAAAATCAAACCCCAACTTAACCAAACTAATTTCATAGTCCTGTTGTATTTTGCGCATTGAAATATATACTACCTAGACAGAACCCTGTCAACACCGTATACTGACCTATTTTTGACATCCTGACTCCCAATGTGTATTGTAATGAACCCTGTCAAAATTATTCAATACTTATCAATATTAAGTATTATCTTTCAAAAAAGCTTGTCTAACTTTAGCTTTATCTTTAGTCCTGGTCAAGATTTAGGACTTCAGTTAAGAAGGGATTATATAGTGTTTTAGGTGGGGGCTGTCTATTGCTATGTCATTTTATTAAGATATGTGTTTGCCCAAAACAATATATTTTGTCTTTTTATAAGACCGCAAAAATTTTATTGGGTTCGTATAATGCTATGATGTCTGCATCGTCATTGTCATTGTCGTCGTCGTCCGAAGACACATTTGGTTTCCGGAAAATAACTTTTGTTTAAGTAAATAGATCTCTATGAAATTTTACCAGAAGGTTCAATACCACAAAAGGAAAGTTGGGATTGATTTTGGGGGTTTTGGTACCAACAGTTTAGGAATAAGGGACCAAAAAGGGGCCAAAAACAAGCATTTTTGTAGTTTCCGGACAATAACTGGTGTGTAAGTGTATGGATCTCTCTGACGTTGTACCACAATATTCCATATCACAAAGGGAAGGCTGGGATTAAGTTTTGGGGTAATTACCCCCAAACATGCAGGAATTAGGGGCAAAAAAGGGGCCAAAAACAAGCATTTTTCTAGTTTCTAGACAATAACTTGTGTTTAAGTGTATGGATCTCTCTAAAATTGTACTACAAGGTTCCATACTACAAAGGGAAGGCTGGGATTGAGTTTGGGGGTAATTACTCAAAGGGGGTTCCAATTTTTTTGGGGGGCTCATACTTTTTTTCTTCCAAATTTTTGAAATTTCAAATTTTTTGAAAATTTTCAAGAAGAAATCTTAAATTTCACAGTATTACACAATAGATTTTTGACCACATTTATTTTGTGTCAGAAACCTATGTTATTTCAAAAATTTCATCACAATCCAAATTCAGACAGTATCAAGCATCAATATTGTGTCCAAATTTGCCCCAACTGTTCAGGGTTCGACCTCTGCGGTCGTATCCGGCTGCGCTCAGTGAAGCATTTTTATTGTCTTTGTCTTTCTTTGTTTTGTTTTTTTGCTTAAATTCTTGCTTTGTTGGTGCCCCCATATGTAGTTAATACAATTTAAAAAAAATGTCCTGAAAAAAAAATGATGTTTCAGTCTAGCTTAGAAGAAAGTTAATTGTGTTAATTTCTGTTTGCAGGTTCAGGAATATTTATTTCACCCAAAGGTGTATTAATGAGCACAGGATCGGTGGGTTTGAGTTTTGTGGTGTGGCTAGGATGTGGTGTCCTAGCTCTTATGGGTAGGTATATAACTTGTTGGCTTCTCTTTTCCCTCACTTACCAAACAAAACAGAATTCTTTTATGCTTATTGATTACTGCTTTGTAGGAAAAAAGTGAACAAAATTCTACCATTTATACAGATTTGAGGTACTTTTGAAAGAATTCTGGTGAGATTGGTCAAGAGCTTCTATGGAAGGTCTAGGTTTGGGGGCTGCATTTCTGTAACAGGAGTTTTGTATATAATGGAAACAAATTATTTAGCCTGCAGGCTTTACAAAACAATTTTCTATCATATTAATCAGGGGAAAAAAGCACAAAACAAAAACAAATAAACAGGCATGTATGCTTATGGAATTGATAACAAGTACATTTAGTGTAATGCTTCGCTGAGACCCTCACATAGAATTGAATGGAAAGAATTGAAATTACAGCGTTTCACTGCAAAACTTATGTTTTAAGATATTCAAATGTAGTTTTCAAGACACAAATAGGAAGTCTTGAGATTGCATGGTGGTCCAAGAGCTTTTTGATACATGCTTTGGTCATGGTAATGTAAGGTATCTAGTGAATCAGAAAAAGAGCTATGGTGATTCAGACTAAATATTTTGTTAAGAGTTAAAATGCATTTGTTTATTCTGATATTGTTATACTGTTAAAAGAATTAATAGTGTGTGAGTTTGAAATATTTAACTACACCAATGCTTGGTTTGTATCATTCAATTACAAAAATAAAATTGTTTGCACATAACTTCAAAGAATCGTCAATCATTTTTACCATTTTCATTTGCATTAAGACGAATTGGAAAAAACCATTTTGTTTATATCCAAATTGAATCATGAAAATACATATTAGTATATATTGTTTATTTGGCAAGTGATTCAGTAAGAAAAAAGAACACAACACAAAAAACGTTGAATGGATTGGAACTGAATTTTAAAAAAAAATCTTTATAGAAAATTTGATTAATACTTGAGTTAACCTTCACTGATATTCATAATTTACTTTATGAATCAATAGAGACTTCAAAAATATTTTTATAATTCATATTTGGATGGATATCTATGGCTAGAAATTTTTCAGTGTCATACAGGCTTTTAGCTTCTTCTTGCTTTAAAAATTTTAAGTGAAAGATTTTAACATACATCAAATATATTAAAAAAATATCCTTTAAAAAAAATGGTTTTTACAACATTATTCATTGATTATGAGTTCTTCATGCTTATTCTATACATCTATTTGAAAAAGTGTTCTCAAATTAGTACATGTATTTTTAATGTTTTTTGCAGCTGTTGTATATGTTTTAGATCGATTATGAATTTATTACATTCTTGGTATTTTATTTATGAAAATATTAAGTTCATATATGGTGGAATGTCTGTTGATCAGCATATTGATATATTATCCCTTTAATTCTGATCTACATATTATTTAAGTACATTTCCCTTTAAATATCTAACAGACAGTTTAATAATGATAAAAGGGGGAATTTGGATGTTAAATTCTGTTTTCTTGATGTTATTTTTATACTGGATTATTATCAAATTAATAAATCCATGGCTTTCAAATGTTGCAGTTTGAGGGTTCTTAATGAAGGTAAATCCAGGAAAGTGCTTCAGACACACAAAATTTATTCAGCATTATTTTCATTAATTAATTTCCAAATGGTAACAAAACTTTCAGCAGGCTGTATCCCCCTTCCAAATATTTGTTCACAAGGCAATATATATGTGAAAAATATAACAAAAGTTTGTTTAAGATACTTTATTCTGAACTTTCAATGTAAAACAATTCAGGTGTTTACCAGTTTTCTTGATTGTGGATAATTCTGTTCAGAACTATTTACGAAAATATCAGATGTTTTAAGCAAAGTTGTGTACTGACAGGTAACATGTGTGTAAATGTAAGGTTAATTCCTGGAAAAAACACCTGTTTCACTGTAACATACTTTCAGTTTTTGTAGATAGGTCTTGGAGGAGGGGTTTCTGCTGCAATGGGATTATTTCATGATCTTATCAGGGTTGTCTCCCTTGTTCATGAGTAATATAAGCTCAACTATCGCCTGTAACCAATTCTTTTAAGTGCCACTAAATTTTTCATTCTTGTTGACTTCAGTTCTTAATTATTTCAAAGGTAAAAGCATCAAAATGTGTTTCTCTACTCTGTATACTATCATGCTGCTTTCGTATTTAGCAATATTTTTTATTGGGAAATAGTTCATATAGGAATAAGTTTGTAGTGTCCTAAGAGGGAAAAGAAGTGTTAAAATGATTAGACCAGGTTTGATTATTTTGTTGGTTTTATTTATTGTTTTCTTTTGTATGTAGATTCAATTGCATATATACATCTAAGAATTTTATTGTTGTTTTTGATGTTATGAGGTTAAACATTTGTATATTGAGGCATGTAACTGTTTCAATTCATATCTGTATTTTTGTAACACGTGGCACTTGGATTAATTACTTAACTTCCGACAAGTTCATTCAAGACAATTTTTTAATGCAAAAGATAGATAAAAGAAAATTTGTGATTATAAAGAAATTTATTTTGGAAGGAGTTTTGTCATAAACATTATTTGAACTATTTTAAGATCAGTGAATTTATGATTAGTTTGAGATTGATAATATTTTTCAGTATTTGAAATTGATATGGTATGGGTATTATTGATTTTTCATCTGTCAAACATCAAGACTTCCATTTTTATGAGTGGGGATGTTTGGGATTTCGTGAAAGCAATACATCTATAAATATTTATTTCATATCATTCAGTGTTCAGGATTTTGGTTCTTGAAAATAAAGATAAAATCATTTTACTCCTTTATTGAAATATTGTGTTGTTCTATTGATTGTTTGTTAAGGGGAGACAACATAAGTCTCCCCGCCTAAAATTTGTTGTTGATTATATTTTCTTGCACACAGGTGGCTGATGATTGGCTGTCTCCAGGAAATCACCTGATTTTCCAGATGTAAGTAGGACAGCTGGAGCCAGTTGCAGACGACAACTCAAAGAGCTGTCACAAGTTTATTTTATTATTTGTGCAGAAACTGATTCAGGGGTGGTAGAATAGAACAAAATGTATGCACATGGTGGCTTACTGTAGGATACAGTTTGTACTCATTCGTAGTAGAACTTACATATAATATTGAGTATCCTGCTGTATAATATCTAAAATTGTAACAGCTTGCATGAACTCTTGGGGGCACTTAAAACCTGAATCAGTTAGGTCAATAATTATCTCAGCAGTTCCCTTTCTTTCAGGAAAAGGGGACTGTTCCAAAACCATCTCATTGGAGAGACAAACATGGCATAGCCATCTAATTCTCTTAAGAAAATAAAAGTCACCATTTTGGCCACGGTGACAGTTTTACTCAAAATTACTTCCCCTTGGTCCTTCTTTATGGAATTTATCCCTTAATAGAGTTGTCTCCCCTTTCTTACATATAATGCAACAACAATAGCAAGATTAGTAACTTTGCATGCAGATTTGTCTTTCTGGGTGCCGAACAACAGATTGTTTTTCCTTACCCAGTGTTTTATTTAGAGGGTGAACTTGCACATATAGGATTTAGTTCTTAGCCATACAACTTTTAGCAGATTGATCATCAGTTTTAATACCCCATGTGTATCTCTTATCTCTTGGGTTAATACAGTACTTGTATGTCGGCAGATTGACTATTTGAAACTAACTTGTATCTCTTTGTTAGTCAAATGTATCAGTGTACATATGATTAAAATTGAAAATGATCTGATAATGTGCAGAAAGAATTTTAATCTTTATTGATTTAGATACATAAAAAATATGATATTTTGGCAATAAAACCAGAAAGAAAATTGTTAGACATATAATGGTTTCATTGGCTATGATAAGAGATAAAATAGTCATTGAAATCCTAGGTGAAATGGGCTTTTAACTTAAACGCAAGAATGATAGAAAATATGTCAAATGTTTTAAAAAAGGAAGGCAAAGAGAAGTGAAAAATACAAAATTTAACTTTTTATATTTGATTTGTTGAATTGATTCAGTTGAAAGTAAAATGTTTTGTTTTATGTTAAAATCCAGTTTCCTTATATGTTGTTTTAACCTTGACTGAGAATATTTTGCAGTTTTCCTGTGCACAAGTGCTTAAATTACTTTGAGAAGAACTTATTTTCTTTTTAAACCCCACACTTAATTACATGTTTTATTATTTATCTTTGCCTATGTCAGCAGTGTTGCTATATAACTGATCTTGCTATTATTGTTCAGTGATGAAGGACAGATTTTGTTATTTTCTTACATTTTACCGGGATAAAGAGGGCATTACTTATAATTTGTTTTGCCTTTTTTATTTCCCACTTTTTTTAGTTGCAGAAAAATTGGTAAATTTCATAATTTTTGAAGTAGGGATATGAAAAATTTAAGAAAACTATGAATTTGGCAGATTATCATATCTTAAAGTTTAATAAATGACAATTTTTGTCCTTCAAATGTATTAGGTAGTTGAAGAAACAGAGTGCCATCTTGCCCTCCTGATATCTCTTGGAGAGACACGTGGCGCTGCTGTGTTGTTAGGTGATGTTGCCAGTTCGCCCTCCAAACAGATCTTGGAGAGACAATTCTGGCATATGGTCTTGATCCCCAGCCCAATATTTGGCTGTTAGGATATGGGTCGGCATTTAGCCCTCCTGGAATTATTGGAGAGACAAAAATGCCACCTAAAACAGAGCCCAATGGTCCCATCTTTATATTGATTTGATACTTTTAAACATGCCAGTTTGCCCTCCTTGGCGATCTTTGAGGAACAGTCCACATGTTGGAGAAGAGTCAAGGCAGTGGAAGCAGATGTTATATTATAGAAAATCATCGTTTAATGATAAATGAATTCTTATTCCAGGTTAGGGCTAATCCAAACTACCTAATACGGAGAGACATACATGGCATATAATGATAGGGACCTTAAAACTATGTAAATTATAACAGATTGTTGATCATTCCACCCTGCCCTCCATTTTTGTGGAGAGACATTGTTGGGATGTCAAACAGCCAGTTCACACTTATATAATTTTTGTTTAATATTTCTTAAAGATTTAAGATTGATGGAAATAATTATATAACTTGTACACAAACTTCAATACTTCATTTTATTTTCAGTTAAAAGCTCATACTCTTAACAAATTTAATGATTTCCTAGTTTTGCTTTTTTTAAACTTTTTTTTTACTCCAGTACACATCATATTTTATGTAATACTTTACCATGAACATATACATGTAGTTTAAATTGCAGTTTCTATTAAAGAAAATTTCCTTTCAAAAACAATTGAAATAAACTGCTCATCAAAATGAGGTTTAAATTGAATTCATATCTAAATATGAATAATTTTGAAAGAAAAAAAATGAGTTGTAGAAAATTGATAATGTACAAGTATCATTTCAAAACTTATGATTTAAGAAAAATTCATTAAACTAAATGTGTATACAAATACACCTCATGTGTGATTTACTGGCTGCCATATCTGTTTTAAACGTAGTGACATATTGTCCTCCTGGAGGTAGCCGTCTACTGCCTTCTTATTTGGGGAGAGACATACATGTCACTGCACCTTTGATACAAATTTTGTCAATTTCACTTTTGAGTGCCATATTGCCCTCCGCACATGGAAAATAATGGAGCAGCCCACTTTTTCTGATCTGTTCATTGCACTATGTAACATATTCATATTTAAAAACTGTGTTAACAATAATCCCTGGCCAAAATATCTAAAATGTTGGTATGACACTAATAGCTGGATGTCTACTTTCACTTTTAATTTTTGAAGCTATATACTTACTTTCACATTGGAATATTTGATTATCACAAGCACTTATTTCTGGTCAAGCCTGCACCTAACAAAAATGCTTTAAGTTAAATATTAAAATGCACTATTTCAAAGAAGCTCTGAATTAATGTCACATTTTAAAGATGGTGGTTTTGAAAAACTTTATTGCAAAATCTCATAAATTCTTATGAAAAATTGATGATGTTAATGAAAAAATTCACTTCAAATTCAAAATTGGTGAATGCTGCAAACCAAATTCTATAAATCACTGACAAGTATGTATATGTTTAAATCAAAATTATCAAAAAACCTTTTTCTATTTTAGGTGCTCTATCATATGCTGAACTTGGTACAATGATCACTAAATCTGGTGCTGAATATGCATACCTCAAAGATGCATTTGGGCCACTCCACAAGAACCTTGGACCAGTACCAGCCTTTTTATTTGCCTGGACCTCAGTCTTAATATTGAAACCAGCTTTATTTGGGGTGGTTGCTATGAGTTTTGGACTGTATGCTGTAGAGCCATTTTTCCCCTGTGGACCATCAAGCACAGCAGTTAAATTAGTAGCTATTGTATGCTTGTGTAAGTTCAAAGATTGGGTAGAGTTGGTCTGAATTTCAGCCTCCTTGAAAGCTGGTTGCAGCAGAAATTAGAGTTATTGAGATTAATTATATAAGGTATGGACAAGCCTGACAATCTATGGGAGACTCCAGAGTTTAAAAAATCTAACAAGAAAAAATAAAGACGAAAGGAGGAGGTATAAAAGATCCATTGTATGGCCCCTAAAACTGCAATAAATAGTTAAATTTTTCACTTGTCAAAATAATGTTGATTTTATTGATTAAGGTAGATGGGGGATCTAAATTAAAAACGATAAAATTTTTTAATGCTTTTCCAAAGTGTATTTTATATCGTGCCTTTTTCAAAAATATAATAAGAGGATGGGTCACTGAGCCTTTTTTCAAGATACAGGTTGTGTAAAATTGTCATATTTTGTATAGATTATAAATGGAAAACCAATTTTGTGTGAATAGAAAGAAAACTAATTGATAGAATTTTAAATGAATTTTGAGAAGATAGACCTTATAATGTGCTTTCAGAAAATTAAAATTAAAATTAGGGTCACAGGACTTCTTGCCACAAAACAAAATAGGAAAATGTACAAAACATTCCTTTATAAAAGTTAGGTTATCTGAGTTTTCTCCCCTTATATTTGGCTAAGCCGAAAAAAAATTGAATCATGCAAAAAATATTCTATATTATGTACTGATACCTGACTCACTAAGGTTATTTGACAAATTTATAATACCTTTTTAGTTGCTAATTCAAAGTGCCAAAAAAGATGCCTTATCATACCTTCTCCTTTCCTTAGAGACAAATTGTAGGTTCTTCAATATATTTTTATCAACTTGTAAAATACCTTGGATGTTTTCTAGGTTAAGATCACCTACTGTAGTAAAATTTTAAGGAACTAGTTTTCAAAGAAATAGAGAACTGTATATCAAAATTTGTAATGATGAATATTATGAATAGATCAAAAATGACTGAAAAACACAAAGTCCATTCTCAATTTCATGATATGTCAGAAGTCAAAAGCTAAAAACTTTAATGAAAGGAGACTTGCCGGGGTATATTTCAACGAGACACTAGAAGCTCCTACACTTTTCTGTAACTTCAAACCGTGCACTATATTTGGTAAATACTGTATCTGATAACAGAGCAGTGCTTGGAAAACAAATATGCTGACTTTAATAGATAAAACTCTTAATGAGATACTATAAAAATACAAAAATTTTCATTTGAGGTGAAATTTATACTGTTGTGTTAAATATTTTAACAGTAATTTCAATTTCTTTTATCTATTTTCAGTAACCATATCCTTTATCAACTGTTATAGTGTAAAACTAGCGACCAAAGTACAGAATTTCTTCACCATTACCAAACTGATAGCTATAGTGGTTATAGTAGTGGGAGGTGCTGTTATGATTGCCAGAGGTAAGAACTATAGTGGTTATAGTAGTGGGAGGTGCTGTTATGATTGCCAGAGGTAAGTATAGTGGTTATAGTAGTGGGAGGTGCTGTTATGATTGCCAGAGGTAAGAACTATAGTGGTTATAGTAGTGGGAGGTGCTGTTATGATTGCCAGAGGTAAGAACTATAGTGGTTATAGTAGTGGGAGGTGCTGTTATGATTGCCAGAGGTAAGAACTATAGTGGTTATAGTAGTGGGAGGTGCTGTTATGATTGCCAGAGGTAAGTATAGTGGTTATAGTAGTGGGAGGTGCTGTTATGATTGCCAGAGGTAAGAACTATAGTGGTTATAGTAGTGGGAGGTGCTGTTATGATTGCCAGAGGTAAGTATAGTGGTTATAGTAGTGGGAGGTGCTGTTATGATTGCCAGAGTTAAGAATAGTGGTTATAGTAGTGGGAGGTGCTGTTATGATTGCCAGAGGTAAGAATAACAGTGTCGTTTTGAACTTTTGATATTCTGCAAACAAAGTATGGCAGAATAAATAATTCATACTTTTATAAGATGTAACACAGGATATTTGTATAACACAAAAAAATGCTGTTTTCTTTGAAAAAAAGAAATTTAACTAGTCTGCTGTCCTGCAATAACTGGCATTGCAAGAAATGTCACTTGTGGTTAAAATGGATAATTAACAAATTTTAGATCAAAAATTGACAATACAAGTAGTCTGGCAGCCCTAGAATGAAAATAACTCTGATGGTGGTGCTGTTTGGTATGAGATATTGTTAGACCTCCTTGGTGGTCTCGTGGTAGTGTGTTTGCCTTGAGTGCAAAAGTTTGAGAGTTCAAACCCCGGCTGCCTCAAACCAAAGATTTAAATTTGGTATTTGCTGCTTCTCTGCTAACACACGGCATAAAGGAGTAAGAGCAAAGACTGGTCGGCACAGTGTCAGAATAATGAGTCTGCATAGGGAGACATGTCTTCCTGCAGAATGTTACCTTATGAACCAGCACATTATATATCCAACTCATTGTGTCAGTCTGAACAAAGCAGGGTTAATATTCATATTATATTAACATGTTCTAGTCCTGAATATGCATTTAATTTGCCGCTGGATTTTAAACAGCCTTCCATCATCATCATCATATGAGATATTAGAAGATTATTAAGCAGTCATATGAAATTTCATGCATGTTTTTGGTCTGCAAGTGTGTCTTTCAACTCAAAGTGCATTTCTTAAATTGTATGGTTTGCAATGCTATATATATTTTTATTTAATGTATGATCATGTATGTTAAGTAACAGTTATAGTAAGATTTTTGACAATGTATTGAAATGTAATAGTCATCTGAAGCTAATAAGCTGTTTAATTTTTAGGTGAAACAGAGTATTTACAGTCAGGGTTTGAAGGATCGCAAACTTCACCATCTATTATAGCTCTAGCATTTTACGATGGACTCTGGGCATATGATGGATGGTATGTTTAATTTTTAAACATTGACAACCAGGAAAGTGCAACAAACTTGAGTTGATAACTGTTCTGGAACTAATTAAAACACAGAAAAAAAAACTGAATGAGTTGGTGCTTAATCAAATTTTAGAAAAATGGTATTTTAATCTTTTTGAAACCAATATCGAGTTTCACTTTTTAGCTTATTCAGCTACAGCAATAAGCATGGCCACCTTGGCTAAAAATAGAACATAACAGTAAAAGGCAGGAAATTTGTTTAATATCTCGAAAAATCAGAAATAGATAAAGAAAATATGATTCAGGCAAAATGTTCAGAATGTCCAGATCTACATTTTACTTGCAGTATTTTATTGACCTCAAATGAATTTTGACTTTTTTTATCAATTTTATAATTGTACCTACATGTATGAACTTGAAAACTGAAAGATTTTGTAAATCAATTATTAATTGAATACAAATTGCAGAAATTTCTGCAGTTTCATGAAGTCTTGTTACCCAGGTTATTTTATTTTCTGTGTATATGGCTTTATATATTGGAATCATCCTAGGCTTCTGCAGACTTAATGTGAAAGCTGTATTGCATTAGAAAGGGTTTTAATTATATTTCAATACACAACATATTTCTTTGAAGTATATTTGAAGTTTTGATTTAATATTACAAACCAATATAGGTTATTTGAATAAATTATATTTAATTTTAATAAATTATTTGTTATTTGAATAAATTATATTTAATTTTGATAAATTATTTGTTATTTGAATAAATTATATGTTATTTGAATATGCTTAAGTGTTTATATTGCTTTTTTTCTAAGGAATAATTTGAATTACGTCACAGAAGAGTTAAAGGATCCTTACAAGTAAGTTATGTGTAAGAACTTTATCACAGTTCAATGTATTTTGATTTGAATTTTCAGCTCATAAATTGAAGTCTTTTGAATGTCATTAAAGGGATGAAAATAGGGCAAGTCAGTGGTCCTGACTTATCTGTTACTGACTCTTTAGCAAATGTACCTCAAAAGTCCATCAACCCTTTACATTTCAGTTGAATATTGGATTTCTTTTATATCCCAAAAGAAGGTGAAATGAATAGAAAACATCTTATGCTTGAAATTTTTCTGCAATTTCCTGTAAACAGAAAAAAAAATTTCATAGATAAAATACCCTGTTTGTAAAATTTATGTAAAATAATAGTTAATTGCCACATATTCCATTGGACCTGTAACAATTTTTAATAAGAAACACAGCATTTTACTCCCAAAACCAATTTTCTTGCAGCTTTTAAATTCAATTAGGGGCTTATAGGTAAAACAAGTTTTATGTGTCAATAATTCAGGTCTATGTGTCAAATTCACCTGATTTCCACTTCAGCAATCTGGTTTTCATGGACACATTCCCCATTTATGATTTTAAAATTTATTTCAGATATTTTTTTGGGAAATGGAACTACTCAAAATTGATTTGTCAGTGAATCCTTTTATATTAAATTTGATACAATTTGTATATAATTAAGCAGAAATACGTACGATCAGAGCCTTATGTTGGCGGATTTACCGGACTGCATCGTATTGATTGGATTAGAAATAAAATGAGTCTGTATCTTAAAATAAAGATTGGACTGTTCTTTTGTTGTATGCTTAAATGAGCAATTTCGCTTTGCTTACTTACTTATTTAAAGTTTACCTTCTAATGACGTCCCTGGTAGGTTGTTGTTGCTTTTAAGATGATTACACCACATTTTACTCTTATGTTATATACACTATGACTTTTATATACTACATTGATATATTTTTATAGAAATCTACCTCGAGCCATAATGATTGGTATACCTCTAGTCACTGTATGTTATATACTCACCAATGTATCATATCTAACAGTATTGTCACCAGCAGAATTATTATCTGCAAGTGCAGTTGCTACGGTAAGCAGATAAAAATCTATAAGTTATCACTCTACTTACATATTTTTTCTTCAACAATTCAACAGAATTTTGAGCCAAAAAATGCTAAATTTTAAATTATTTGCACATATATGCACATGGTAAGGAAAATATATAACAGTATACCTTATCCTCATTTGGGAATCTGCCACACATAACCATGTGATTTTGTAACACTTGAACTATTGACTTCACAAAAATCAATTTTGCCTTTGTGGTGCCATTCAGTTTCTCTTTTGAAGTCACGTTTTTACGGGAACATCAATGATGTCCAGTAATGGCGCACAAATAGCAGTATGGTGCCTAAAACTCTGCATGAATTGTGGAAAAGAAAATTAAGATCCACATTACTGATTTTTACATTGTCATTCCAAAAATAGCTCATCTTTACATGGCAAAAGATAATATGACAATATAAAAGTTGTAACTAAAAAGGAACAAGCTTTATCTAAAGGACTAATACACTTAATATAAAAAACAAATTTACCTGAAGGTGAAATAAAGGGATGATTATGCTGTTGTGAAAACTTTTAACTTTCCAATAATCTAATTTTAAAGCATTTTCTATTATTTGGGCCCCGCCTAGTGGCGGGTCGCCCTATAGTGATCAGTCTGTCCGTCCGTAACAAATTGCGTCCTCTCTATATCTAGAGAACCGTTATAATTTCATACTTTATACTTGACATGTATATTAACCAACAGCAGAGGGTGTGTCATAATGTTTGTACAACTTCCTAGGTCAAAGTTCAAGGTCAGCGGGGCCCACAGAGATGGCTCCCATCTCAATGATGTCTAGTTTGGTTTATTTTTAAATATGTACATGTATGATTTATTAGATATGTAAATAGTAAAATAACAAAAATACTGAACTCCAAGAAAAATTCAAAACGGAAAGTCCTTTATCAAATGGCAAAATCAAAAGCTCAAACACATCATAAGAATGGAAAACAACTGTCATATTCCTGACTTGGTACAGGCATTTCCTTATGTAGAAAATAATGGATTAAACCTGGTTTCATAGCTAGCTAAACCTCTTACTTGTATGACAGTTGCATAGATTTCCATTATGTTGACAACAAGGTGTGAGCAAAACAAACAGACATAATAAGTAAAAGTGTCAAAAATGTCTAAAAGTAAGTTAAACATATTACACAAATTTACTGTAACTTGGTTTTAGAAAATCAGAATTTTTTTAAGGCACCTGTTTCATTAAACTTTATATTTTAATGTCATTGTCTGAAGAAAAAGAAAAGAAAAAGTGTCCCACAGCTCATTATTTTTTCGTGTTGTTGTATTTTACTTTGTACAGAAGCTTACATCAAAAATGTCCCATAATGGATATTTGTATTTTCTCAATGAATTTATGTTTTTAATTTTCAGACATGGGGACACAGAGTTCTTGGTGTTATGGCATTTATTATTCCCTTATCTGTTGTATTTTCTACATTTGGTGCTGCTAATGGGTCGTGCTTTACAGGAGGAAGGTAACTGCAAAGTTTCTGTGCAAACTTTTTATAAAGTTTGGGATTCAAAAAGAAAATAAATAGTTCATTGATTGTAAAAATAAAAAAATAATGCAGCTTGGCCAAAAAGATTTTTTTAATCTTTTCTTGTACCTCTGACAACATCCATCTTTATCATGATGATGTTGCATTCATTATAGTGTTACTAGTTATCTCCCTTGAAACGATATTAACTCCCCTTAAGTTATTGATTAAGGTTTTGAGTAAATTCATGTCAGCCTTTTTTTTTCTTCTTTATTTTAACATTTTTCCCAAAAAATCTTCAACACATTTATACCTTTTTTCTTAATAATAATAGTTTTATTACGTCATTAATTTTAATTAGATAGGGAGGGGGGTACAAAAAACTTAAATAAAGATATGATTTTTGAATATTTTTTTATTTACAATTAAAGTAAATTTTATATTACAGTTTTAAATTTATTGTTGAGTCTTACCCTTTTAATTACAGAGTTATGTTTGTTGCTGCTAGAGAAGGTCATCTACCAGAAGTTTTATCATTTGTACATACACGACAATTCACTCCTCTTCCATCCTTAGTAGTATCAGTAAGTATTACATGTGTATACTCAGAAAACTTTGTTGTGTTTTATTTATGGTCAATAATCATTTTTTTCATATCATTAAAGAACATTTTGTCCTGATTTTATTTGACAGTACTAAACTTAACGCATCATAATAACTTAGGTTGTCTAAATACTTTAGTAGAGATTTTGTGTTTTTATCTATTTTTTTTTTTATTTAAGGTCAAGTTACAGTAAATGGGCTATGTCACGGATTTTGGTAAAATTTTGCATACAACTTTGGCTTGTTGAACTTTTAGTGATAATCGAAAATAATGCATTTATCCCTTTTATTGTCGAGCCTGCTACATTTATGTTGCGAAAGCGAGACTTAGTGATCCTAGATTCTGTTGGCCGCGGCGTCAACATTTAGGTTCAGTCTGAGGTTAAAGTTTTTTAGACATCAATAACTTTGTCAAACCTTCATGGAATTTGATGAAATTTTGACAGAAGTTTGTTTATGACCAAAATACAGTATACAGAGCAAAATTTTGAAAATATTTATTTTCATTTTTCCGTATTTTACTGATAAATGGACTTAGTTTGATTTACAGTTAACAAGTAGATACAGTCTAGGGTTAAAGTTTGTTACACATCAATTACTTTGTCAAATATTTATAGAATTTTATGAAACTTTAGCAGAACTTTTTTTATGATTAAGAGATAATGTCTGAAGCAAACTTTTGAAAAATATTTTCATTTTCAGTATTTTTCTGATAGATGGACTTAGTTTTTTACAGTTAACATTTATAGACAGTCTGGGATTTTTTTTTTTTTTTACATGGTAAACCTTCATGGATTGTTAATGAAACTTGGACATCTTCAAGACCAAGAAATAGCATTTAAAGAAAAAATTTTAATTTTTTTTTCAAATCTGTATTTTACTGATAAATGAACTCACTTTTTAAGTCAACACTACACTTTTACACTGACAGCAGCAATCGTAGGCGAGACACAGGGTTTTGGTGGAACCCCTTACAATTTTTTTTTCTGAAATAATACTGAATTTCAAATTAGGAGAACCTTTGTGTAGAAAGCCCATAAAATTGGTGAAAAACGTTCATCATTTTCATAATTGTAAGCATTCTATTATTCTAACGTTAGAAAGCAATATAACTTCAGAACAATGTAATTGACTGGTAAAAAGTCAAATGTACTCAACACATCAGAATTTTGATAAAATTTGAATATTTTGAATTTAGATTTATAATTATGGATGTTGTAACTTATAAAGACTTTTAGGTTCAGGAAACTGTTGAAGACAAATTTGACATGAAGATGGGAAGATCATTTTGCCTAATCTGTTAATGTAGATATAATATTATTTATTGGTTTTACTTTACAATTTCAGACATTACTAGCCTGTATATTAGTATTGATGGGGGACATATTTGCATTGATTGACTTCTTCAGTTTTGCTGCCTGGATGTTTTATGGTCTAACAATGGCAGCACTTATTGTCATGAGATACACACAGAAGGATGCTTACAGACCATATAAAGTAAGCTTACAGTGATGTATGAAATGTATTTAGTTTTATATATAGGCATAAAGATCATTGTTGAAGGCTGTACAGTGACCTATAGTTACAAACTTCTACATCATTTGGTCACTGGTGGGGAGTTGTCTCATTGATAGTCGAACCCACATCTTCTTATTTTTTTATATTTATGTAGTATAAACCAAAGGATGTCATAGTAGTTTCCACTCCTATAATCATCTGTTTTCTCCCAGCATGTAAGACCGACATATATTTTCCCCTGTTGCAAGTGAAAAATACTCTAAATGACTTTCATTAAAACAAAATTTTGAGATATTGGACTACTGCATAGATTAGAATTTAAGAACCACAAATGAAAAACAACAATTAGGTGTAAGAGTTCTGATTTTTCTGCTCGGAGTCAGAATTATGCTTTTGAGCAGTGTGATATGTCTCCCTAAGGGCTGATACTATGTGAGGTAGTCTGACTCCCCGTTGTGGTGTAGTACAAGGCACTTTAGCAGGATATATTCATATTTCATTATCATGTTATTGTCCGTAGTATGTTTGTAATATTTGCCGCTGGATGTTAAGCAGGCACTAATCAATCAGTCTTTCTTTTGCAGGTACCCATTATAATACCAATTATAGTATTACTGTGCTCCTTTTACCTGGTGTTAGCACCAATTCTACAGAACCCTAGGATAGAATTTCTCTATGCATCTATATTTATGTTTAGTGGACTAATATTTTATGTGCCATTTGTTGTATACAAAAAAGAATTATCATTTATGCGTAAGTATAATATAAGATTGTATCATATATTCATAAATTTTTTGCAATGTTTATATTTTGCAAAAATCACTACAGTATAGCGTTCCGAAAAATTAAAACCAGCGTTTTATTTGAATAGCATTATTTGTGTGTAGCATTTCCTGATATAGCAATAATTTATTTCACATTTTTATGCGCCTGTCTTTAAAGACGGAACGTATTATGGTATACCGTTTTCCATCCGTCGTCAACACTTCAGACAATAACTCTTAAAACACTGTCACCAATTTTCATGAAACTTTGGTAGATTGTTAATATCTATTGACGTAAGCACTCTTTTGATTTTTATAAATTTAAGATTTTAGGTTTCCTAGTTATTGGATTTAATTCATGAAAAAAATTGTGATTTTCCAGTTTTCTGACTATAACTCAAAAATACTTTGAGCAATTTTCATGAAACTTTGGTGAATTGTTTATATATACTAACATAAGTTCCATTGTGATTTTAAAAATATTCTGATTCTACGTTTTGGAGTATAGGGACTTTATTCATAAAAAAAAAGGGGGATTTTCCAGTTTTTGGACTATATCTCAAAAAAGCTTTGAGCAGTTTTCATGAAACTTTGGTGGCTTGTTTATATCTATTGAAATAAGCCCCCTTTTGTTATGGCCTTTAAAAAACCTTCTCTAATCTGCCTAACGGTGTATAAAGTTAGGAACGTAATCAATTATTTAATCAGATTTGACATTTAAACAGCTTATAAGTAATGGTTTCTCTGAAGATTATGAATGCATGGGAGCAAGGGATATAATCAATTCCAAGATCATCCTACTCTACAATGTTTACAACATAGTTTCTTCCCAATATGTTTATATCATATTGGCACGAAGAAATTGATGCCCTCAGCCAAACAAAACTTTTGAAATTGGTATGAGCGGCTTATCTGTTAAGAGTATGGCATTTGGCAATAAGATCAAAAACTTATTGAATTGAATTCTGAATAATTTTTAACACTGTATTATCTTATGAAAAAATCCTGCACAGTGTGTCTTTCGTCACATTCAAATCTTAATAACATCTTCACATTCGCAGGACGTGAAGATCCATCCATTCCATCGATTAAATCAATCTTATTACATAAATCTAACAACACCTCTGCTAGATTGACCATGAATTTGAAATTAAATTGTGTACTTGATAATTCCTCTCTTTTTCAGGACATGTGACCTACCTTTTCCAGATGGTATTTTGTGTTGCGCCAAGTCGATACGATAGAGACATTGTAGAATGATTGTGATAAACAGTACATTTATTAATTAGCTTTATTTAAATGTATATTTTCTCTTACAAACTGTGATAGAGACCAGGCAGCATGTCCCATGCATTTAAAGGGAATCTCTCCATGGAAAGTGCGGGCATTTGCCTTTATAGTGTTTTGAAATATATAGTACTAACTAAATGTTTTTATTATATTTGTTATTATTGTGATATTTTTATCCAATATTTAAGTTAGATTTTTTTTTTTCTCTCTCAGCTTGTTCTTGCTTGTATTTAATATCCTGTTTGTTGTTGTTAACAAGTTTATAAAAAAAAAAAAAAAAGAAAAAAGTATTTAAAATGAAAAAAAAAAAAAAAAATAAATAGATAAATAAATAAATAAAAAAAAAAAAAAAAAAAAAAAATATAAAGAATTAAAAAAGTAATAAAAAAATATATATATGTGAAAACATGTATATGAAAAATTTAAAAATTGTGTGCTTAGCCTTTCCTATATGAGAGAATCTTTAAAAACCATTGCCTTAGGATTAAAGTGTAAGGTGTAAATATTAGGCTTCAATTAAGTAGTAAGTACATATTCATTGTTTATAGCTCAAGCCATCATTGATCATCTATCCTTCATTGTGAAGTAAATTCCAAATTATGTATTGTCTTTAAACAGTATTTTTGTATTAAAATTGTTGACCAGAAGAATGGTTATGTGTTAGTATCATGAATATAATATGCAAAAAGTTCCTCTGTGGAAAATATTGCAATTATTTTCACATTGTATTTATTACTTTGGTCAAAATATTTTGTTAAGTATGGTTTATATATTTTAATTTTGAAATGAAGATTTTATTTTTTAATTGGGAGTAAATATTCATAAAATTCATGCCATTCTCTGGGTTCTTTTTTTTTATTGATATCAGATACAGTTATACTAATTTGATATATAATTTATCATTCCAATTTGAACAGAAGCAGTGTTTAGTGATCATTCTATCAAAATAAATGCATAATTGCCAACCTGCAGAAGTTTTCTATGATAGATAAAACATATTTTTAGTGAAGGGATTTTGAATAGCACATTTGGGAGGCAAATTGGCAACTATGCAACTATTCCATGATAAGATAGCATATTTAATGTATACCAGCATTACACAGGGATTTTTCTGAATATTAAATTTTTATGCAAGGACCATCAACTAATTAGGACTGTTCAAGAATTACAGTAAAGGCATGTCAGGCACTTTTTTTAAGACTGTGATCACCCATAAAACAAAAGTTTTCATTTTTCTTATAATTCTTACAAAATTCTAAGGAAAATGCAACCACCTATAATTAATTAATTTGAGTGCCTTCCATCCCCCACAGGGTAAATTTTGGGACAGCCCTAATATTTAAAGTCATCCTGCCCTCATACATTCATTTTGAAAAGTGGAATTTTCATGATATGTCTCACCTTAGTCTAAGTTAGATTTTATATCTGTTACTTGTTAATAAGTTAGAACTAAAGTCTTTCATAATGGACTTGTAATTTGTAAATAAAATGTCTTATTTATATATTCGAATCATCAATTCATACTTTAATGATCTCTATTTATTTATATTTACTAATGTAATCTTTATCTTTACTAAATGTGATATTTTTTCACATTAGTGTGTTTTGTTATGAATAATTGGTATTTGATATACAGATTCTTTACATATGTTTAAACTAAATATGTGAAACAGATTCCGTTCTCATCTTCTCCCAAAAGTTATCAGATATGCAGTCAAAGTGTGATTTCTCATTGTCTTAATTATATGAAGAAAAATTCCATGCTTTTCTTCTTAGGCAATAAACTAAGATATCAAGTTTATGGATGTAAGAATAAGATAAAAAAAAAAACTTTGTTAATTATAAAACATTCCTATTGTCTTAAATCTTCTTCCTTTTATAGAAGAAACCCATTGATAAAACCTGGAGCAGAATTTTTTATTTTGTAAGACTTTACAAAACATGGTAAAGTTGTTCCATTTTAAACTCATTTTCATTCTTAAATATTTATTTCTATATTTATTTTCATACTGTAAATTCAGAAATTTTTTAAATGTTTTTATTATTGCATTATTTGCAACGCACAGTTTTCACAAAAATTAAAACTCACATTTTTAATTTTGGTAATATTATTTGTATGCAGATTTCCTGAAATCAAAATAATTTATCTATTGTTCTACATTTGCAATAAGAAAGGCGCTAAAAAATTTCTGAATTTATTGTACATTAAAACCTTTCAGTTAAGACAATTCATTCTGTCTTTTGATTGATGCCTTAAAGATGTGTAAGAATTCATTTAATCACTCCTTGCAACTTGTAACCCTATTATTGAAATTTTTTTCATAGTGGTGTAACAATTCACCAAACAAGGTTCAGTTCAGTTTTTTTGGTTATTTTATTGCAATATGTACCAAAAATATGTTTAGTGTATCGTTACACCTCTGGGTTTGTCATTGTTACGATTTACATATATAATTTACTAGTAAACCAGCACACCATACTACCATGGTACATTGAGAAAAAGTTTACACTTTTACTTGATTACTTTGAGGTTAATTCATAGTGTCATTTGGTATTTTAGCTTGTTGTCTTGCTCAAAAATGTATGCTCAGCTAGAGTATGTTTTAATAAGTGTTGTTTATAAGATATAGACAATGTATATTGGATAATATTTTATCAGACCTGTCCGTCTAGTTTAAGCTGATGTTCAGTGTATTTCAATATACTTCACATTTGTAGGTTGCACCATCATGCAGATGCAGATATTTTTTTGACTTAACACTTTAATTAATGATTGTTTATTTATTTTAAAGCATCATCAAATACCATAACAGTATTTGATTTCAGGGTACATATAAATAAAATTTATGAATGTTGTATATTGTGTACCATTTTCATGAATGTTATGTTACTGGTAAATGGACATATTTTTTTTTTACGATACACCAATTAAATATGAGCATTTAGAAAGTTGAACCAAAAACAAAAGAAAACTTATTTCAAAATTGTGATGCTATCTTTCTCTATTAAAACTTCATATATATACTTTTACCAGTCCAATTAGTATGGATGACTAAGATTCCCAGTTTAATCCCAGTGATAAATATGAAAACATGGCTGTGGTCTGTTTTTTTAAGGCTGTGCAAGAATCTAGGAAAATTTCTATTATGGTTATAAGATACTTGTTTTTTCCCTGTTAGCAAATTTAGTATGCTAGTATACCACTGTGTATTGTTTAAATATCAAAATTTTGTTGTTGAAGAGAACATGCGAGTAGCTGCAATGAGTGTTGAATTTAATTGGATACATATTTGTATATTTCTGTGATGGTCTGCCAGTCGAAAGTGAAAAAACGACATATGTACCGGTGTTCTGTAATTATCTGTGATGGGATGTCCGATAATAATTTATAATTTCCAAGATCTTGTTAAATAAAGTAAATGCTCCTTTACAAAGTATACAAGAACGAATCTCTGGATTGTATTGGTTGTATTATTGAATCTTTATTTATATGATAATAAATGTTATGTATATATTTTTACTTTTTAGTTATACTGTAGGAGCCATCTTGTAAATTTATTCATCACTTCCTTGTTAATATTCATTATAGATTTTGTATTGTTTCTCATTCTGTATAGTTTTTGTTTTTGTATGTATTTGTACATACTGACATATTTATTTATTTTAAAAGTGCTGTTTCTTTCCTTTAACACACAAAACTGTTAAATATATTTTTTATTGAAAAAACTTTTTTTTTCTCTCTTAATTTTATTTACTATACAAAAAGACTAGAAAAGAGCCTTTGAACAATTTTTTTCTCTTGTGGTAGATAATTCTGTAATCATGCCACAGGAATGTTCCACTCAATTTGATTGATTGATTGTTGGTTTCCAGTAATTTGAATTTAATTTGATGAAACCATTAAGTTGAAAAGTAACCCAACTAATCATGGTTACCCAGGTATGTGACTGATTATAAGGTGTATGCCTGTTTGTAATATTGGGACATAAAAATAAACCAAAAATGCTCCCAAGATTTGCAGACATAATAAATATTCCTTCAAAATTTATTTCTCAAATACTTGATGCCTTAGAACATTTGTAGTTACAGTTGAAATAATATAGCATGCAAGTCAAGAGTTTAAATGCCTTGCTTGCAAACTTTGTTTGGCTGTTTAATCAGACATTGTAATTAAGATTGACACCTAAATTCAATGGGTAGGCGGAGTAACAGTCTGTATTCTATAGCTCACTATACAAATCATTGGCCTACCCATTTAATTTAGGTGTCAATCTTAATTACAATGTCTGAGCAAATAACCAAACAAAGTTTGCAAGCAAGGCATTTAAACTCTTGATTTGCATATCTTTATTATTTCAACTGTAAATTATTTGATTTGCTTATATTTATATCACTTAGTCTGTAGTTGTGAAGCAATATCTTAAGTTGTTATTCAGAGTGTTTTACATGTTATTAAACTGAACAAATAAATATGCATTTTATGTTTACATGGTATGATTGCATTGACTATTTGTGATGTCAGAAAGGTATTGTAAGAATGTGCCATTTCAAAGGTGCTTATAGGATTATAATTTGATTGTAAATGAGAAGTATAGCTTGTCTTTTCTTTATTACAACATGAGTCATTCAAGCAATTGCAATGGTTAAGCATTAGGTCACACCAAATGAATTCATTGTTCTCGTGACCTACTTTGCTCATAAACTTTCTTGATTAAAAAATCAGATTCTTATGAGGGGGGGGTATCTGCACGGAAGAACGCGAAATAAAATTGCCATTTCACGATGAACAAACAATTAAAAATTTCTTGCACGTTGATCTTTTTACCGATTTCACGAAACACGGTGAATAACGAACCTTTTTCACGACTGCACGTGAAATAAAAATGGCAAAACACGTTGCATGAAAATAACCTTTTACCACCCTCTCTTATGTATTGCCTCTTCTTTCCTTTTTTAGCTCACCTGACCTGAAAGGTCAAGTGAGCTTTTCTCATCACTTTGCGTCCGTCGTCCTGCGTCCGTCGTCCGTCGTCCGTAAACTTTTACAAAAATCTTCTCCTCTGAAACTACTGGGCCAAATTTAACCAAACTTGGCCACAATCATCATTGGGGTATCTAGTTTTAAAAATGTGTGGCGTGACCCGGTCAACCAACCAAAATGGCCGCCACGGCTAAAAATAGAACATAGGGGTAAAATGCAGTTTTTAGCTTATAACTCAAAAACCAAAGCATTAAGAGCAAATCTGACATGGGGTAAAATTGTTCATCAGGTCAAGGTCTATCTGCCCTGAAATTTTCAGATGAATCGGACAACCCGTTATTGGGTTGCTGCCCCTGAATTGGTAATTTTAAGGAAATTTTGCTGTTTTTGGTTATTATCTTGAATATTATTATAGATAGAGATAAACTGTAAACAGCAATAATGTTCAGCAAAGTAAGATTTACAAATAAGTCAATATAACCGAAATGGTCAGTTGACCCCTTTAGGAGTAATTGCCCTTTATAGTCAATTTTTAACCATTTTTCGTAAATCTTAGTAATCTTTTACAAAAATCTTCTCCTCTGAAACAACTGGGCCAAATTAAACCAAACTTGGCCACAATCATCATTGGGGTATCTAGTTTAAAAAATGTGTGGCGTGACCTGGCCAACCAACCAAGATGGCCGCCACAGCTAAAAATAAAACATAGGGGTAAAATGCAGTTTTTGGCTTATAACTCAAAAACCAAAGCATTTAGAGCAAATCTGACATGAAGTAAAATTGTTTATCAGGTCAAGATCTATCTGCCCTGAAATTTTCAGATGAATCGAACAACCTGTTGTTGGGTTGCTGCCCCTGAATTGGTAATTTTAAGGAAATTTTGCTGTTTTTGGTTATTATCTTGAATATTATTATAGATAGAGATAAACTGTAAACAGCAATAATGTTCAGCAAAGTAAGATTAACAAATAAGTCAACATGACTGAAATGGTCAGTTGACCCCTTTAGGAGTTATTGCCCTTTATAGTCAATTTTTAGCAATTTTTCGTAAATCTTAGTAATCTTTTACAAAAATCTTCTCCTCTGAAACTCCGTGGCCAAATTAAACCAAACTTGGCCACAATCATCATTTGGTTATCTAGTTTTAAAAATGTGTGGTGTGACCTGGTCAACCAACCAAGATGGCCGCCACGGCTAAAAATAGAACATAGGGGTAAAATTCAGTTTTTATACGACCGCAAAAAAATTTTTGTGGTCGTATATTGGTATGACGTTGGCGTCGTCGTCGTCGTCGTCGTCGTCGTCCGGCGTCGTCCGAAGACACATTGGTTTTCGCACTCTAACTTTAGTTTAAGTGAATGGATCTTTATGAAATTTTACCACAAGGTTCAATACCACAAAAGGAAGGTTGGGATTGATTTTGGGGGTTATGGTAATAACAGTAAAGGAATTAGGGGCCAAAAAGGGGCCAAAAATAAGCATTTTTGTAACTTCCAGACATAACTTGTGTCTTAGTGTATGGATCTCTCTGACATTGTACCACAAGGTTCCATATCACTAAAGGAATGCTGGGATTGATTTTGGGGGTAATTGCCTCCAAATTTTAGGAATTAGGGGCCAAAAAAGGGGCAAAAAACAAGCATTTTTCTAGTTTCATGACAATAACTTGTGTGTAAGTGTATGGATCTTTCTGAAATTGTACTACAAGGTTCCATATCACAAAGGGAAAGCTGGGTTTGAGTTAGGGGGTAATTGCCCTAAACGTTTAGGAATTTGGGGCCAAAAAGGGGCCAAAAAACACATTTTTTTCTAGTTTCCAGACAATAACTTGTGTTCAAGTGTATGGATCTCTCTGAAATTGTACTGCAAGGTACCATACCACAAAGGGAAGGCTGGGATTGAGTTTGGGGGTGATGAATCATAATGGGGGTTCAAAAAATTTTGGGGGGGGGATTTATTTTTTTTTCCTTTTTTTTCTTTTTTTCCTTTTTTGTTTCTTTTAAAATTTTCCATTTTAAATTGGTTATTTCTGATTTATATTTAAAATCAAATAATAATGATATGGTAGGAGATACACACCAAACAGGATGTGTAAATTATTATATAATAAGTATTGTGCAATAGCAAGAAATTTTCAATTGCACAGTATTGCACAATAGCAAGAAATCTTCAATTGCACAGTATTGCGCAATAGCAAGAAATCTTCAATTGCACAGTATTGCGCAATAGCAAGAAATATCCAATAGCACAATATTGCGCAATAGCAAGAAATTGTCAATTGTACAGTATTGCGCAATAGCAAGAAATATTTAATAGCACAGGATTGTGCAAAAGAAGATACTTCCTATAAATTGCTTATTTCTTGACCAATTTCAATGGGGTTTTATTCTTGATTTCATGGGGTTCTTTAATATGCTGAATCTAACCGTGTATTTAGTTTTTGGATTTTGGGCCCCGTTTTTAAATTGGTCCACATTGAGGTCCAAAGGGTCCAAAATTAAACTTTGTTTGATTTCATCAAAAATTGAATTATTGGGGTTCTTTGATATGCCGAATCTAACTGTGTATTTAGATTCTTAAATTTTGGTTCCGTTTTCAAATTGGTCTACATTAAGGTCCAAAGGGTCCAAAATTAAACTTAGTTTGATTTTAACAAAAATTGAATTCTTAGGGTTCTTTGATATGCTGAATCTAACCATGTATTTAGATTTTTGATTTTTGGGCCCCGTTATCAACTTTGTCCACATTGAGGTCAAAAGGGTCCAAAATTAAACTTTGTTTGATTTCATCAAAAATTGAATTATTGGGGTTCTTTGATATGCCGAATCTAACCGTGTATTTAGATTCTTAATTTTTGGTTCCGTTTTCAAATTGGTCTACATTAAGGTCCAAAGGGTCCAAAATTAAACTTAGTTTGATTTTAACAAAAATTGAATTCTTAGGGTTCTTTGATATGCTGAATCTAAACATGTATTTAGATTTTTGATTATGGGCCCAGTTTTCAAGTTGGTCCAAATCGGGGTCCAAAATTAAACTTTGTTTGATTTCAACAAAAATTGAATATATGGGGTTCTTTGATATGCTGAATCTAACCATGTATTTAGATTTTTGATTTTTGGGCCCCGTTATCAACTTTGTCCACATTGAGGTCAAAAGGGTCCAAAATTAAACTTTGTTTGATTTCATTAAAAATTGAATTCTTGGGGTTCTTTGATATGCTGAATCTAACCATGTATTTAGATTTTGGATATTGGACCATAATAGGTGAATGTCCAATTTAAAATTTTTAAGTTCTTAGACCACATTCAATCTGTGTTAGAAACCTATGCTGTGTCAAATATTTAATCACAATCCAAATCCAAAGCTGTATCAAGCTTGAATGTTGTGTCCATACTTCCCCCAACTGTTCAGGGTTCGACCTCTGCGGTCGTATCAAGCTGCGCCCTGCGGAGCATTTTATTTTCTTTTAAAATTTTCCATTTTAAGTTGGTTATTTCTGATTTATATTTAAAAGCAAATAATAATGATATGGTAGGAGATACACACCAAACAGGATGTGTAAATTATTATATAATAAGTATTGTGCAATAGCAAGAAATTTTCAATTGTACAGTATTGCACAATAGCAAGAAATCTTCAATTGCACAGTATTGCGCAATAGCAAGAAATCTTCAATTGCACAGTATTGCACAATAGCAAGAAATATCCAATAGCACAATATTGCGCAATAGCAAGAAATTGTCAATTGTACAGTATTGCGCAATAGCAAGAAATATTTAATTGCACAGTATTGTGCAAGAGAAGATACTTCGTATAAATTGCTTATTTCTTGACCAATTTCAATGGGGTTTTATTCTTGAATTCTTGGGTTTTTTTAATATGCTGAATCATACCTTGTATTCAGTTTTTGGATTTTGGGCCCCGTTTTTAAATTGGTCTACATTGAGGTCCAAAGGGTCCAAAATTAAAATTTGTTTGATTTCATCAAAAATTGAATTATTGGGGTTCTTTGATATGCCGAATCTAACCGTGTATTTAGATTCTTAATTTTTGGTTCCGTTTTCAAATTGGTCTACATTAAGGTCCAAAGGGTCCAAAATTAAACTTAGTTTGATTTTAACAAAAATTGAATTCTTAGGGTTCTTTGATATGCTGAATCTAAACATGTGTTTAGATTTTTGATTATGAGCCCAGTTTTCAAGTTGGTCCAAATCGGGGTCCAAAATTAAACTTTGTTTGATTTCAACAAAAATTGAATACATGGGGTTCTTTGATATGCTGAATCTAACCATGTATTTAGATTTTTGATTTTTGGGCCCCTTGTCAACTTTGTCCACATTGAGGTCAAAAGGGTCCAAAATTAAACTTATGTATTTAGATTTTGGATATTGGACCATAATAGGTGAATGTCCAATTTAAAATTTTTTAGTTCTTAGACCACATTCATTCTGTGTCAGAAACCTATGCTGTGTCAAATATTTAATCACAATCCAAATGCAAAGCTGTATCAAGCTTGAATGTTGTGTCCATACTTGCCCAAACTGTTCAGGGTTCGACCTCTGCGGTCGTATCAAGCTGCGCCCTGCGAAACATTTTATTGGCTTTTAACTCAAAAACCAAAGCATTTAAAGCAAATCTGACATGAAGTAAAATTGTTTATCAGGTCAAGATCTATCTGCCCTGAAATTTTCAGATGAATCGGACAACCCGTTATTGGGTTGCTGCCCCTGAATTGGTAATTTTAAGGAAATTTTGCTGTTTTTGGTTATTATCTTGAATATTATTATAGATAGAGATAAACTGTAAACAGCAATAATGTTCAGCAAAGTAAGATTTACAAATAAGTCAATATAACCGAAATGGTCAGTTGACCCCTTTAGGAGTAATTGCCCTTTATAGTCAATTTTTAACCATTTTTCGTAAATCTTAGTAATCTTTTACAAAAATCTTCTCCTCTGAAACAACTGGGCCAAATTAAACCAAACTTGGCCACAATCATCATTTGGTTATCTTGTTTTGAAAATGTGTGGCGTGACCTGGTCAACCAACCAAGATGGACGCCATGGCTAAAAATAGAACATAGGGGTAAAATTCAGTTTTTGGCTTTTAACTCAAAAACCAAAGCATTTAAAGCAAATCTGACACGAATTAAAATTGTTTATCAGGTCAAGATCTATCTGCCCTGAAATTTTCAGATGAATCGGACAACCCGTTGTTGGGTTGCTGCCCCTGAATTGGTAATTTTAAGGTGATTTTGCTGTTTTTGGTTATTATCTTGAATATTATTATAGATAGAGATAAACTGTAAAAAACAATAAATGTCGGCAAAGTAAGATCTACAAATAAGTCAACATGACCGAAATTGTCAGTTGACCCCTTTAGGAGTTATTGCCCTTTATAGTCAATTTTTAACCATTTTTTCGTAAATCTTAGTAATCTTTTACAAAAATCTTCTCCTCTGAAACAACTGGGCCAAATTAAACCAAACTTGGCCACAATCATCATTTGGTTATCTTGTTTTGAAAATGTGTGGCGTGACCTGGTCAACCAACCAAGATGGCCGCCACGGCTAAAAATAGAACATAGGGGTAAAATTCAGTTTTTGGCTTTTAACTCAAAAACCAAAGCATTTAAAGCAAATCTGACACGAATTAAAATTGTTTATCAGGTCAAGATCTATCTGCCCTGAAATTTTCAGATGAATCGGACAACCCGTTGTTGGGTTGCTGCCCCTGAATTGGTAATTTTAAGGTGATTTTGCTGTTTTTGGTTATTATCTTGAATATTATTATAGATAGAGATAAACTGTAAAAAACAATAAATGTCGGCAAAGTAAGATCTACAAATAAATCAACATGACCGAAATTGTCAGTTGACCCCTTTAGGAGTTATTGCCCTTTATAGTCAATTTTTAACCATTTTTTCGTAAATCTTAGTAATCTTTTACAAAAATCTTCTCCTCTGAAACTACTGGGCCAAGTTAATTATAGATAGAGATAATTGTAAGCAGGAAAAATGTTCAGTAAATTAAGATGTACAAACACATCACCATCACCAAAACACAATTTTGTCATGAATCCATCTGCGTCCTTTGTTTAATATTCACATAGACCAAGGTGAGCGACACAGGCTCTTTAGAGCCTCTAGTTTCAAATCTGAATTACAAAATAAAAAGGAATTGTTCTGTCAATAAAATCTTATGAATGAACAAGTAAAAAATTAAAATATGTCCTTAACTTACATATTTAAAACTGCTCAGTTATTTGTCTATTTAAGGGGGAAAATATAATAAATGTTTCACTTGCTTGTCCCCATTTTTAACAGGAAACATTAAAAGAACAGCATATTAATTTGGTATGGCTCTAAATATAACCATGCATTGCAGTTCCAGCTTCAAAACTCAGAAAATGGCTTCAACCGTCATATTATACCAATTAATACTTGTAACCATTGATTGTATACTGGAATTGTTATTAAGTATTCAGTTATATTATACCCATTAATACTTGTAACCATTGATTGTATACTGGAATTGTTATTAAGTATTCAGTTATATTATACCCATTAATACTTGTAACCATTGATTGTATACTGGAATTGTTATTAAGTATTCAGTTATATTATACCCATTAATACTTGTAACCATTGATTGTATACTGGAATTGTTATTAAGTATTCAGTTATATTATACCCATTAATACTTGTAACCATTGATTGTATACTGGAATTGTTATTAAGTATTCAGTTATATTATACCCATTAATACTTGTAACCATTGATTGTATACTGGAATTGTTATTAAGTATTCAGTTATATTATACCCATTAATACTTGTAACCATTGATTGTATACTGGAATTGTTATTAAGTATTCAGTTATATTAGAAGTCTGAGAAAAAAACTTGACTCGTGTTGTAATTAAAAACAATTGACAAAGATGTACTTTAATTTAAAATGTGTGTAATTGGTTGATCATGTTTATTTATATATTTCTTCTTTATTTTTGAAATTCATAAAATGAAGAAGTTAATAAATATAGCAGAAAAGGGTTTGTTGTTGATTTTTATATCTGTATTTCACTACAATTGAAACATGAGAATCTTCCATCAGAAAGTCAAGCACATCTCATAAAATCAATTCAACCAACCACTTTGTGAAGAAATGCCTGTACCAAGTCAAAACTGTAATATATAAGTAAAGAGATGTGCTATGATTGTCAATGAGACAACTTTCCACTAGTGTCCAAATGATGTAGATGTAAGCAACAAAAGGCCACCTTACAGCCTTCAACAATGAGCAAAAACTGACAAGGCATAGCAAGCTATAAAAGGCCCATCCATGACATACTGTGAAAGAATGAAAACGAGAAAACCACAACCTGATTTTTGACAGTTGAGGAAAAACAAATACGACAGACAGCAATTCTGACTTAGAGGACAGGCACATATAGAATGTGGTGGGGTTAAACATGTGTGTAAGCACTCAACCCTCCCCTAACCTGGGACAGTGGTGTAACATCACAACATAAAAACAAATTGTTAAAATCAGTTTGAAAAACTCAACAGATTGGTACATAGCAAAAAGACACACATAGTGTGGATCTAAGAGTACTTGCAGTTACTGAAAACAATTTCAAATCCAATTACAACCCATAAATAAATCTTCTCCCAGACAATATAAGTGTTTTTCTCCGTGTCCTATGAATATGCTGTTCTCTGCATTTTTTAATATTGACACATGTTATATGGTTTTGTCCTCAATTTCAAATTTCAGTAGTCTGGTTAAATTTCATGATATGTCTGTTCCACAGTACCTATTCATGACAGATCAGCATTATTCCTTATGTGGATTCATTGCAACCATCAATGTGTGACCTTTGTAATTTTCCTGGACCTCTTTTTCATTCTGCTCCAGTGGTCAGGTTATGTTTTCTGGAAAGGATCAGGTCTTCAGTAACAAAGTACAAAATGTACTGGTAAGCAGGATATAAATAAGGCCTTTAGTTTTCTCATTTGAATTGTTCACATTTTTCATGTCGGAGCATTTTATAGCTGACTTTACAGTATACAGTATGGGTTTTTCTCATTGTAGACAGCCATATGGTGACCCATAATTGCTTATATCTTCATCATTTGAACTATGTGGATAGTTGTCTCATTGGCAATCATACTGCATCTCTTTATTTTTTATATGAATGATAAACAAAATTTGGTATATATAGAATATAAACCAAGTATGAAAGGAATATCAGTATGATGTACTGATTAGTATATGTCGCAAGGTACTTTTTGCAATGATCAGTATATGTTGCAAGATACTTTTGTACTGATCAGTATATGTCACCAGGAACTTTTGCACTGATCAGCTGATCAATAAAGCTGTTTGGGAGGAAACAATTTCACAATCTTGGATTCTTCCTAGTAACCAGTTATAACTAATAAAATTAAAAGGTTCCTTGAAAGGTACTGATTTATATGATGTATGACTGTCAATGATGCATACTAAATTTTAAGGAACCAAGTGGTTGTTTTTATGGTATTTAATGCCACTTTAAGGTAGATGACCCCTTCTGTAGGCCTGTATATTACGAAATTTTCAAAGCGCAACCATATCAAAACAGTAAGTATACAGAATAATAATGACGTGCCATTTTGTACAAACACCAAAGGGAAACGTTGTTCAAAGCAAATTTGTTCAATGATCCATTATTAAAGCATTTAATAGAAAATAGGGATTTGGTGGTAAATAAAGCAAAATTTTGGCAAAAACCCACAGACTTTATAACAGTGTTTTTCGTTATAAAATTGTAAACAAAAATTACTCTCTTGTTTGTCCATGATGTGCTAGCCTTTATTGTCTACAAAAAAGTCCTAAATAACCTTTACAATCCAAAAAACCTCCTGCTGAGTCACTAAACTATAAAATAAGAATGAGAAGATCCATTTTTATACTTGCTTTAACCAATATCTTTATTAATATACTTGTTTTAGGGAAATCATTGCTAGCACTCCATGCAATAATCCTCTATCTATTAAGCATCAAATTGTCAATTATAGTACAATTAAGGAGAAAGGCTGCAGATTTTTTTTATAAAATTTCCATATGTTTAGCATTGAAACAACAAACGGTTACATAATCCTTAAGCATTATTGGCTTTATCATAGGGGACAATTTAATTTGGTGGAGGAAGCTGGAGTACAAAAACACTCAAACACAACAGGCTAATGATTGTAGACAGAAACAAGGGGTAATAATCATCTCCCAAGAAGGTTCCTTGTTCGTTAGTATTGAGATTAGATCAACAGACAAATATGGCTGTTAGTGCATTAAGACTCACTAGTGTCAACTGTAATGTTGCTTGAGACAATGTCAAATCTAGTGATAAGTCATGAACAATGTAAGGAGGTGACCAAAATCAAAACTTTGCAAACACTCAAAACAAGTAAAAAGTCGGCACTGCCAACCGATGCTCCCTAAACCCCACATTTATTCATAGAAAGGGAAAATTAGAGGCTCTAAAGGGCCTGTGTCGCTCACCTTGATCTTTGTGCATATTCAACAAAGGACATTCTCCAACATTGTAAACGAGAATAGAATTCACGACAAAAGTCTCTGTTTAAGGGATCTTATATTGATGATCATTTAGTCTGTTTTGTTTCTCTCTATCTTCTTTAGTTTTTGCTCAAAACAAAACCTTTGGGCCAGGTGAGCTAAAAAGTGGCATGTACTTAAAGGGTGCAGTTGAGATAGCATTTTCTTTGTCAACCAAGAAAATATTGGTGGGTTTCGTGTTGCTCAGTCTTTAGTTTTCTATGTTTTGTTTTGTATACTGATGTTTGCCTTTTGGTTGTTTTTTGTTTTTTGCCATATCGTCGTCAATTTGTTTTTGACTTACGAGTTTGATTATCCCTTTATTTTTTGCCTCTCTATTAATCTTCATTCACTTCTTATGCCACCACAGCTACCAGAGTACACTAAGGTCAAACCAGTATATTTAAGCATAAGGAATAAACTGCTTAGCCGAGCGCAGCTGGATACGACCGCAGAGGTCCAACCCTGAACAGTTGGGGCAAAAATGGACACAATATTCAAGCTTGATACAGGTCTGAATTTAGATTGTAATTAAATATTTGACACATTATAGATTTCTGATACAGTATAAATGTAGTCAAAGAACTTGAAATTGGTTGTATGATTTGAATTTATATTCAATTGAAGATTTCTTGTTGTTGTGCAATACACTGTGCTGTTGCACAATACTTAGTAAATCGGTTTTCAGACTATATACAAAGAATTAGCAAAATAAATTGTGACCCCCAATTTTTTCTTTGGAAAATTGACAATTTCTTAAATCTTGAAGAAAAAAATAATATTTGAAGAGAATTTTCTTTCGGTACAAATTAAGAGACATCCATACACTTAAACACAAGTTATTGTCTGAAAACTAAAAAAATGCTTGTTTTAGACCCTTTTTGGCCCCTAATTCCTGAACGGTTTGGGCAATTTCCCCCAAAATGAATCCCAACCTTCTACTTGTGGTATTCAACCTTGTGGTACAATTTCAGAGCAATCAAAATACTTATACACAAGTTATTGTCCTGAAACTAGAAAAATGCTTGTTTTGGCCCCTTATTCCTAAACAGTTGGGACCATCACCCCCAAAAACAATCCCAACCTTCCTTTTGTGGTATTGAACCTTTTGATTAAATATCATAGAGATCCATACTCTTAAACTAAAGTTATTGTCCAGAAACCAAATGTCTTCGGACGACGCTGACGCCGACGACGTGATACCAATATACGACCGCATAATTTTTTTGCAGTCTTATTAAAATTATACAATTTTTTCCTTGACGTAATATTTGAATTTTTTTGAAAATAACAAAAATATATTTTGAATGCCATTTTTATTGAAAACAATCCTGTAAAGAAGATATGGTATAAATATAATATAAACAAATGTTACAACACAAAATAATAAATACTCTAAAAAACAGTAAGCATTTACCAAGGTAGCAACCAAAAAGTATGTACATTCATTTCTTTTCTCCCCAAACTGACAATGTTTTGGTGTGATTTAAAGAACTGTACTGTGTACATACAAGTAAAGATGTCCCTCTTGCTAGGGAATTTCAACTATGAAAAAAAGGTTAATTCAGGTCCATCTTGCTCAACTCACAATCAACACCATTAATTTTTCAATCTATCAATACATTTTCCCCATCCAAATATACTACAAACTGTTTGATAATACCATTGAAAATTCACAATCTGATTAAAGATAGACATAAAAACTGTACTATGCTGAAAAGTACAATCACATGCATTGAAACCTAAGCAGACAAAATTTTTTCAATTTTACATGTGTATTTTCAAACATTATGTAAAATATTTAATGTAATAAACAGATGCGGATCCATGATTTTGTAAAAGGGGGCCCAGGCCCCAAAACTAGGCAACGTTTAATTTGGAGTGGGACATGTAAAAAGTCTATGCATTAACCATATATGTAGCTCATTAAGGAGGGCTGGGCACCTTGCCCTTTCCTACATTTGCTTCTGATGACCAATGAATGTACACTGACAAGCATTTTAGAACAAATTTGGATGGCTGATGATTCCTGTATTTCCCAAATCTTCAGTGGAGTTTAAAGCTATTAAGTGCAAGAATGTCTGCAGAACTTTGATGGCTGGCAAAAAAATATTGACTAGCGGCCACAAGGAGCTTGTACATGGTAGTAATGTATATACATCTTGTGTTTGAAACTGAGCGTTGTACATATACTCTTTATAGTCTTAGCTTTAAATCACAGTTATACATTATGTATAGTATTATACACACTTAATATATTTATCATTTTCATCTACATAACTGATTTGAAAAAAAAAAAAATTATTTCATAAAAAAGGAGAAAAGAAATTATATTTTTTAAATTTAAAAACTAGGACACATAAACAATGATAAAATAAATAAATACAAAGAAAATGTCTCTCAAAATCATTTATATAAAACTAGAAAAAATTAAGTAGAATATCAAAGGAACATCAAACATGCCTGTTATAAAAATAATAAAATGCTTCGCTGAGGCGCAGCTTGATACGACCGCAGAGGTCGAACCCTAAACAGTTGGGGCAAGTATGGACACAACATTCAAGCTTGATACAGCTCTGAATTTGGATTGTTATTAAATATTTGACACAGCATAGGTTTCTGACACAGAAAGAATGTGGTCTAAGAACTTGAATTTTTTTAATTTACCTATTATGGTCCAATGTCCAAAATCAAAATACATGGTTAGATTCAGCATATCAAAGAACCCCATATATTCAATTTTTGTTAAAATCAAACAAAGTTTAATTTTGGACCCCAACTTGGACAAACTTGAAAACTGGGCCCATAATCAAAAATCTAAACACATGTTTAGATTCAGCATATCAAAGAACCCCAAGAATTCAATTTTTGCTAAAATCAAACTAAGTTTAATTTTGGACCCTTTGGACCTTAATGTAGACCAATTTAAAAAACGGGACTTAAAATTAAAAATCTAAATACACGGTTAGATTTGGCATATCAAAGAACCCCAATAATTCAATTTTTGATGAAATCAAACAAAGTTTAATTTTGGACCCTTTTGACCTCAATATGAACCAATTTGATAGCGGGGCCCACAAATAAAAAATCTAAATTCATGGTTAGATTCAGCATATCAAAGAACCCCATATATTCAATTTTTGTTGAAATCAAACAAAGTTTAATTTTGGACCCCAACTTGGACCAACTTGAAAACTGGGCCCATAATCAAAAATCTAAACACATGTTTAGATTCAGCATATCAAAGAACCCCAAGAATTCAATTTTTGTTAAAATCAAACTAAGTTTAATTTTGGACCCTTTGGACCTCTATGAAGACCAATTTAAAAAACAGGACCCAAATTAAAAATCTAAAAACACGGTTAGATTTGGCATATCAAAGAACCCCAATAATTCAATTTTTGATGAAATCAAACAAAGTTTAATTTTGGACCCCTTTGACCTCAATATGAACCAATTTGATAGCGGGCCCTACAAATAAAAAATCTAAATACATGGTTAGATTCAGCATATCAAGAACCTCATATATTCAATTTTTGTTGAAATCAAACAAAGTTTAATTTTGGACCCCAATTTGGACCAACTTGAAAACTGGGCCCATAATCAAAAATATAAATACATGTTTAGATTCAGCATATCAAAGAACCCCATATATTCAATTTTTGTTGAAATCAAACAAAGTTTAAATACTGGACCCTATCTTGGACCAACTTGAAAACTGGGCCCATAATCAAAAATCTAAACACATGTTTAGATTCAGCATATCAAAGAACCCCAAGAATTCAATTTTTGTTAAAATCAAACTAAGTTTAATTTTGGACCCTTTAAACCTTAATGTAGACCAATTTAAAAAACAGGACCCAAAATTAAAAATCTAAATACACGGTTAGATTTGGAATATCAAAGAACCCCAATAATTCAATTTTAGATGAAATCAAACAAAGTTTAATTTTGGACCCTTTTGACCTCAATATGAACCAATTTGATAACGCGGTCCACAAATAAAAAATCTAAATACATGGTTAGATTCAGCATATCAAAGAACCCCATATATTCAATTTTTGTTGAAATCAAACAAAGTTTAATTTTGGACCCCAATTTTGACCAACTTGAAAACTGGGCCAAAAATCAAAAATCTAAATACATGGTTAGATTCAGCATATCAAAGAACCTCATATATTCAATTTTTGCTAAAAGCAAACAAAGTTTAATTTTGGACCCTTTGGACCTTAATGTAGACCAATTTGAAAACTGGACCCAAAATTAAAAATCTAAATACACTGTTAGATTCGGCATAACAAATAAATAAATGTGATCAAAGATTTTACAAATCTAATGCGCCATACTGTGCAATTAAAGATTACTTCTTGAAATTTTTCAATATTTGAAATTTGAAAAAAAAAAAATATTTGAAGAATAATTCTTTTTAATTTCTGAAATCTGAAATGAGAAAAAATTGACCCCCCACAATTTCTTTTTATCCCCCCCCCCTTTTTTTCCCCAAAAAATTCTTTCCCTCAAGATATGGTCATAATATCAATTCAAATTTCCAATGGAGTTGGCAACCATAATTACCCATTTAAATTTACCATAGTGCTAACTTAATCTATTTTATAATAGAATTAAAAATATAGTGTCAAATCTTTCATATGGATTTTTTTGTAAAAAAAAAAGATGCAACATTTGCAGATATTTTTACTGGTCTTCCTTTATAAATATGCATTTCTTTAAACATAATTTAAAAGCAGTGTAAGGGAAGTAACCAAAACATTGTATTTGGATTACCTCCCTTACACTGTTTTAAATTATCTTTATTGTTCATTAACCATTACATTATACATAATTTAAAAGCAGTGTAAGGGAGATAATTTCAATGATGTATTTGATTTATCTCCCTTACACTGCTTTAAATTATGTTTTGTACTAAAGTATTTGTCCATTAACCAGGACAACCTTGTTTTTCCCCCTTTTTTGCCCCTAATTCCTAAACGGTTTGAGCCATAACTCCCCCAAAGCAAATCCTAACCATCCCTTTGTGGTATGGAAACTTGTAGTATAATTTCAGAGAGATCCATACACCGTTCCACAGTTATTGTCTGGAAACTAGAAAATGCTTATTTTTGGCCCCTTTTTTGCCCCTAATTCCTTAACTGTTTGTACCATAACCCCCAAAATCAATCCCAACCTTCCTTTTGTGGTATTTAACCTTATGGTCAAATTTCAAAAAGATCCATTCACTTAAACTACAGTTAGAGTGCGAAAACCAATGTGTCTTCGGACGACGACGCCGGACGACGACGACGCCAACGTCATACCAATATACGACCACAAAATTTTTTTGCGGTCGTATAAAAACATTTCAAACAGAAAAAAAAACTTCAAATAAAATATAATAATAACAATATAAATGGTTTGACACTAGATTGTAAGGTAAAAAAAAACAAAAAAACAACTAAATCTTGGGATTTACAACAGTTGACTTTTAAATTAATACTGAATAAACAGTAACAAACAAGACAAATACCTAACTGTACCATATTATGCTCAATTATTCAATTTTCTTCAAAGCATTAACCAACAATGACCGAAATAGTATTTCAACTTAAGAATAAAGATAATCATAATGATAATTAAGATTTGCCAAATTTACGTTTGTATTGAACCGTATTTGGTTATTTCCAGACCAAACTTACTTCAGTTACCGGTAAATCATGTGTAATGCTATAAATATGTAATTATAAATAAATGATTATACATTGTGTTGCATGAAATGCACTTGACCCTGTATGTACAGTGCTAGTGTCCAAGCTAGCTCCAAATAGAAGGATGAACCTCCTCAAAGTCCAACCACACTTTCAAAGAACTTGACCCTGTATGTACAGTGCTAGTGTCCAAGCTACCGGTAGCTCCAAATACATGTAGAAGGGTGAACCTCTTCTTAGTCCAACCACACCTTCAAAGCACTTGACCCTGTATGTACAGTGCTAGTGTCCAAGCTAGCTCCAAATAGAAGGGTGAACCTCTTCTTAGTCCAACCACACCTTCAAAACACTAACACTGTATGTACAGTGCTAGTGTCCAAGCTAGCTCCAAATAGAAGGGTGAACCTCTTCTAAGACCAACCACACCTTCAAAGCACTTGACCCTGTATGTACATTGCTAGTGTCCAAGCTAGCTCCAAATAGAAGGGTGAACCTCTTCTAAGTCCAACCACACCTTCAACTTTCATCTTTAAACATGTTAAAGACTAAAGTGGATGTTTCAAACTTACCACATGTACATGTATACATGTATTTATTTTAAATTCCTTCTTTTCACAGGCATTACAGGTGACTACCCTTTTTTTATTTGGCTTTGATAAAGAATTTCAGGGTAATATCATGTACAATGTAGATAATAATATACTGATCAAAGAAACTGATATTAAGTGATAAATGTGTAAAGTTGAATTAAACATAGTCTGTTTATAAATGGACATGCTATACATGTGTATTTACAGTTAAATTCTGATTGCTACTTTGAAAATTCAGCTTTTTGTCAAGCATTTTAATATAATTCAAATAATAAAATGGTTAAATGGAAGCAGAAGTGAAAAGTAAATGTAATTTAAATACTCTTTCTCGAAACATACATGACATACACATGTATACATTTGTAATCATGATAATAAATAATTTTCTTTCATGCTATGAAGAAGGGCTCTGAATTGTACAGATCTTTTCATTTAGAATTTCTCATTAAGTTAGATTAAATAATAAAGCAAAATATGGCACTTTAAATTATCAATCAAGTTTTGTAAATTTTAGCACACTGTCACCGGATTGCTTTATCACATCAAAGCTGCTGGGTACTAAGATCCTGTAGCTAATAAACCAACATCCAACTGCTATAAAACCTGCTGTTACTTTCTGTGAAAGTGTGTGAAATCTATAAACAGTTGTTATCAATAACATAAATTCAAAAATTACAGTGCAAATAGCCAAGGATGTAAATAATGCCTTGACGTATGGTGATAGTAAATTGTATGCCTCGATTGAATTCTCTACATCAGATTTCTTCAAGTTTCTTTTTTCAACATTATCTTCTGTTAAAATCTGTCCTAATTTTTTCCAATCTTTAAAGCATCGCACTTCTTCTGATATTGTTAGCAAACAATGAATTAAAAGGAAAGTATGCCCTGATATATCAAATCCTAACCATAACTTTCCAGATTTAATACAAGACATCTTGCTACCTTTGGTTGGTTCTGAACAGACACCTACAATTTCTTCAACTCTGCGAAATGTTGATGTGATGAAATACCACCAAAATGTTGCAACTGCCAAGCGACACAAATGTTTAAGTACATTCTTCAAGTTTCCTAGTGTGTATACATAGCTGGTCATAAATATATACATTGAAAGTAGGATAAAGGTCCAGCCCCATCCCATTCTGACAAAAAATCTATTCAATATGTTGTGTTTCTCTGCTAAATAGAACTTTGGTAAAACTGAAAAGTCAGCAATAACTGATCCGATCATCACTATCAACAAGTACATTCCAATTTTCACAGCTGTATCTATCAGTAAAACCTTTTTACACAGCGTAAGGATCAGAATTACTATGAATGAACTGATATTTGTTGGTGGAGGCAGAGATTTTTTCGATGGTTCTCTCTCAGATTTCTTCGCTTGCGGGTTCTTGTTAATGGCCATTTTGAACACTGTGTCATGTGACTTTAATTACCGGCGTACTGAAGAAAAGAAAGATTGTATTAAATAAATGAAAAATAATTCAGCATAGACCTTTTTAAAAAGTATGTAGATAAAGTACAATATGCACAGAAAAGAGCTACACGGCAAATACACGTTTCAGAAATCTAACTATCCTGAAAAACTAAAGAAACTAAAATTACCAACGCGGTCATATAGGAGAAGAAGAGTACGAATGATACAGTTATTGTAGAGCATATAAGATATTAAATAAAAATATGATGCTTTCTCAAATTAATGGTAAATACAGAAACAGACATAGCACAAGAATAAAAACCAATAAAATTATTCACCAAAGATAATTTAAACAAGTCTTAGGAAAAATAGCTTTTCTGTAAGAATTGCATGTACAAAAATATAAAATAATCTACCCAGGCTATTGCTTTTGGTAAAAAGTCAGCGGATAAATTTCCTTCTTTTAAAATTGGAAATATTGATATAACTTTCGAAGAAACAGTTAAGCTTTTACGTGTAGATATAGATTTTATTCTAAATTGTGATAACCATATTAAAACAATACGTTAAAAAGCTATTCATCAAATTAATATATTGAAAAGAATTGGTAGAAATCTATGTAAGCTTAGTAAACTTACTATCTTTCATATTTTTATGTTGTCGTATTTCAACTTTTGTCCCTTGTCTTGGCACTTGTATTCTGTTGCCAACACAAAGAAAATATAAAAAAAATTCAAGACAGGATATCGCGATTTGTATATTGTGATTTATGTCTCTGCATATGAGGATCCGTACGTCAAGGCAAAACTTATCTAGCCTACATGTTAGAAGGGTAAGAACAATGGCCCTGGAGAATTAAAAATTTTGCATGATTTGGCCCAACTGTTTTATCAGACCTAATAAATAAACACTGAAAACATAGACATAATTTCAGATATTTTAATCTTTTACAGATACCACCAGAGAGAACAACAAGGTATGGTAAACAATCTTTAAGATATGCTGCTCCAGTTCTGTGGAACTCTCTTCCCGTAGAATTCAGACTGCTTAAATTTTAATCAAATTAAGTCCATGATATAGTGCTGGAGTGGTAAAGTATGTTCCTGTGTTGCCTGCAGATATTGACCACACTGTCAACCATACATGTATACTGCAGCGGCGTACCTAAAATACATATTTCTTTTTGTTTGTTTGCTATTTCTTATTTTGTTCTGCTTCGTAGAGTTTTGCTTATTTTAAGTGCTAATAGTTTTAGTTACAGATTTATGTGCTTGCTTAACTTAATTGTATATGCTTTTATGCTAGGCTACTCCTTTTATGTGTCAACTGTGTATGTGTAAAGTATTGTATGCCTTGTGTTGTCCTATTGTTTCTTAACGCACTGTATATCATATGCATGTCTTTTTTTATTTATTATGTATGTCGGTTCAACATTTCGCACAAAGCTGAGCTTATATTGCATTGTAATTTAACTTGCCGACTTGAAATAAAACCAATTTGATTTAATTTGATATCTGGTAATTTGATGAAGGCCCCGTAAATAAACGCCTTAAAGAAAAGATTAAGTCCCGGTTTCAGAATATGCTGACAAGGAGGCAATCAAACCCACAAGTCGAAAAAACACACACAACATGACAACCCTTTGGTCATAGAACAGCACGAACCCTATCGATAACCGGGAAATTGGACTTTTCAGAATGGTAAGTTGTTTCTGTCGAGCTTGTTCAATAGTAGCACCCGTCAAGGTGACTACACGACATGAAATGATGTGTATACGACAAATGAAACGTATTCAACAGTCCTGATATTGAATACTGAATTAAGAATTATCATGAACACATGTGTACTAACCTTATACAGTAAGTAGAGACCGAGGTTTGGGTTTCAGCAGCGATAATACTTCTAGTCTACAACCTATCCAATTATGGTGAAAAAAAACTGAAAATAAGATATGAATACACTGTACAAGTAAAGAGTAAAGTCTAAACCAATTCAAGTTCGATGGGATTTATGCAATCAACATGTCACCAAACTTTGAACTATTTAGTGAGAGGACACCATCTATATAGCGGAACGTGAAGTCAAAGGATTATGATTGCTTCTGTTCATTATTCCTGAGAAGCTCTTGTATGAAGTCTGCCTCAAATGAATAAAGGAACAAGTCGACAAAAAGAGGAGCACGCGGTTGGTTCCCATATGAATACCAATTGTCTGTTGAAAAACACGTCCTCCAAACGTAAAAAATATGTCGCCAATAAAAAAATCAAGCAGCTTGATGATATTAGTCTAAGAGAACCTTTTCTTTGAATCAGAGTAGTTTTTTTTTTGTGAAAGTATGATTTATCCCTTCCTAGAACAAGCTATTTGTATCTACGTTGGCCATTCTTTTTAATTAGGGATAGTGAGACTAATTCTTTCAATTTGTCTTTAACTTTAGATTGGGAAATACTAATGTATGGGATAGAGAAGTCTTTTTTTTTTTATATTGTTGCAAGAGGATAAAGCCTCATATAGTATGTTCTCTTATAGATCTGTGGATTTTTTTTAGTATCCACATCTGATTCACACCACCGCTTGAGTTGGTTGTTTCACAGTAAATCTGAAACCCGACTTTGATTGCTGATAAAATTGGCGTTACTAGTTTGGAAAGAGGTTTTGTTGAGCACTTGGCAGACCCAGCAATATAACATTGTCTGTAAGGACACTTATGTAATTTTGATATCCAGTACAAAGAAAGGAGAGCCAGTTCTTCCTCTTTGGTTTATAGTTCAAAGGATCATAGAACAGACCTATGATTTTCAGTGTTTAATCTTTTTTTAGTGTTGTTTGTAGCATATGTTGAGTTTTCAAATGTGGTTACAAAGGGAGAAATGAATATAAATAGAAAATGTAAAAATGTTAAGAATCGGCTGGATGTAGGGCCATGTGAAAACAGTACAGTGTCAGTGTTTAACTAATAATTATGCATGAGAAGATCGTAAAACTTTTCATATATAAGTTAATTCAGTAGAATGATAAGTCCCGTTAAGTATTTATATATTTTTCCATAAATGGGATAACCCGTTCTTTTAATGCTACTTCATATAAGTCAAACTTTCAAACCAAAAATCGTATCTATGATGCAACTTTGCAATTGTCGATAAAAGTAGAATATCAGAGAAAAAGGCAATTGTTTATTCTGATGTTTCAGGTGAGAATATGATACAGCTGTATCCTACCCTTTCCAGAACGGACTTATTTCTCCTGTTACAATGCCACTTCCCGTCCGCTTTCGTCCCCTTTTATTTTTTCGACCTTTTTCTCCTCCCGTGCAGAGTTCCGATTTTTAGTATATACTTCTCAATCATTCAGCCTTTGGGAGGTAGTGGTAAATGTCACGCCCGACTGATGGAAGTTTCCCTGTCGTGTACAAATGAATTCTAGACAGCCTTCACCACTTTTCAATCCTTATTGTGTATTTTTCTTAACTTTCTTAATCTCAGTGCGTTTTTTTTTTATCTCAATGCGTAATGTTTAATTTTCGGTGTGTTTTTAAGATCCGTTATTTTTTTCGAAATGAGATCGGCTTGCCATAATAAAAAAAACCGCAGCAGAATCCCCCACTTGACACCCCTTTTCATAATATGACCAGTGGCGGATCCAGAAATATCCATTAAGGGGGCACTGACTGCCCACAAGAGGGGGCCCGCTCCAGTCATGCTTCAGTGGTAAGTAATAAATCAACCAAATGTTTCCCAAAAGGGGGGCCCGGGCACCCTGCCCCCTAAATCCGCCTATGATGATAAACTGCGGATAATTAATTAATTGTACATTTTTTAATATATTTTAAAAAGACTTTTCGAATTAAAGGGAAATCACACTATTGTTTATACGCATCGCTCTCGGCGCCGCTATAGTGTCGTGACCGTATTATGACGTCGCCGTTTCGAGTCCGTCGTAAAGGTTGCTAATTTCTAAAATGGCGGCCCGCTCAAAAGGACGTTCACTAAAGCAAGAAAAGCAAATGACGTTTTGATTTAAGTGCAAAAAATGAAAATGCTACTCGAAACGGACAAAATGTATGGCAAAAAATTAGCCGAAAGTGGTCTTGATATGGTCTTGAATTACCTTACGATTGGGTTTAATTCAAATGAGTTACTCTCTTTAAATAAAGATATAATTATTATCATTATTAAAATTGAGTGAGTATTTACTTACAATACAATTTATACAATTATTTTTCTTAAAGGTTTATTAATTTCACCGAAAAATATTGTTAGATATGAGAAATATCAACATATTTTGTTGATCTGGTCTTTATTATTTGTAGCGAAATCCGTCAGCTCAACTTTTTTTTGTCAGTAGAAAAACTTTTTTTATTTACTGTAAAGTTTATATTTTCTTATATTAACATATTTATTGATCTCGCAGATTTCTTAGTTTCACGAAGAAAAAAAAATATTTAAAAACAAAAGAGATATTTATAACACTTTTTGTCGATCATTTCAGTATAATCAAAGCGTACATCGGCGAATGTGAAATCCGTCCGGTCAACTTTTTTTTTTAGAAAAACATTTTGTTTTACTATGAAGTTTAAATTTTCATATAAGATAACTATTAATCTCGCAGAATTCCTATAGTTGTATGAAAAAATATTGTAAAACAAAAGAGATATTACTGGTAACACTTTTTGTCGATCAGTTCAATATTGTAAAGCGTACATCAGTGATCGAGTGTGAAATCCGTCCGGTCAACTTTTTTTTTGTTAAATATTTATAAAATATAGTCTAATATTTCTAAGGTCTTCAAATATTAAAATAATCTATCAAATAACAAAAAAGTTCTGACTATTTATATCTCATCCGGTCAATACGGGCAATTGTCCTGTCATTAGTGTAACCCAACTGTTGGCAGCGTATCGTCGGGATGCGGTATGTGGGAATATACTGGAAAAATAACAATATGCCAAGAGTAACAGCATGTAAGCGTACAGCTTCCGGAATTTCTAGTTTTCTGTCCAACAGAG